GCAGGAATAAATTATTGAATGTAAAATTGCACAATTTATTCCACGAGCTGTTGCCAGATTTTATTCCATTATCAAAAATATCTCCATCTAGCTATCTTTGATAAAATACAATTATATAAATATGTGTCCCCTAGAACTGACGATAGACACACTCAAACAGGAGGCAAATTGAACGTCCAGTATCAACCTTACGGCTCGGTTAACAAATAAACGAAATGGGACAGCCTTTTTGAAATACCTCCGTCATATCTTTCACTAACAATAATATATACTATTTATGACTCAGTGCCAAAATATTCGCCGGTTTAGCAAGTAAATAAATGATTGAAAGATTTGTATCTAACTGAATAAACAAAATGATTTTTGTTGGTGTTTGGATTCATAAATATTAAATTAAAAAAATAATATTTGGGAAAAATAAAAGTAATATCTTTTTGGCGAATTTTGAGTACAGTAATTTGAAAACTGATTGGGTCATTAGATGCGAAAAATCAACGACGAAGATATTTCGTGTCCAATAAGATTAAACATCCGAGACTAATTACCCTACTGTTCATGAAATACGTGCAAAATAGGTATAGAAGCACTTTGGACTTGATCAGAAGATTCTTTGATCAAAAAGTGAAACGGCGTGACTCTTTTAAATCTACTGCGACAGACAATTTCATTATGCTATTGAAGTCACCTAAGTTCGACTTTTAGCAAAAATACTTTTAATTTTCCGAAGTAGCTTGCATCTCATTTGTGAAATAAAACAAGAGGGCGATGCTCAAATATATGAGCACGAAAACGATAATAATACGGGTAAAGTCGGCTTCAGACCGGATTCTGAACTTGGTATTATTAAGTTTTCATGATCAGCACCACTTGTACTTCAATTATTTTGTACATTTTTGGTGCTTAGTGCCAATACAGTTATTGATAATCTTTTGAATTGAAAGCCACAAGAGATAAATTTGTGATAAACTAATCCTTTTCAAATAAATTTTACAGTATATATAAAGGTGATTTGTACCGGAGATGTCAGTTAACAGTCAAAATAAATAGTAACCGTTAACCATCTAAAATCGATTACCCGGTTAACCATTTTCAGACCAAGCCACAGTACACTATCGGTACCGCAATCCTCGCGACTAGCGCGAACCTGGAACCTGCAAGGAGCGCAATTTTCGATGACATTATGTCACACCGGAAACGAAACTCGTAGAGCACACAACAATTTTTGAAATAAATGAATGTAGAGGAAAATACAATCTTCCACAGTGAAAAATTAGAATCAATCTGTCCAGTATATACAGAGAAAGGCGATTTTTTTCATAACGATGAGAAGAAAAATACCAACAAGAACAACATAATAAGAAAACGATCCATATGTGAACTTCATGTCCAATAAAAACCACGTGAAAAGGCTAGACATGCTCGATGCGCAAATAATTTCAAGCGACGACAAGGTGAATGCTATGAAATGGTAACGTGCAACAAGTCTAATTTTCTTTCGTCATACGTAAACTATGCTCCGCTGTTGTCTTTTTTGCTGTTACCTAATATACTACATATTTAACTAAGAATCCAAACACCAACGATAATCAATTCGTTTATTTAGTTAGAAATGCATACAAATCTTTCGATCGTTTATTTACTTTCTAATCTTTTTCAAGGTCTCTCAAACATATATAATGAATTAGGGAGCAAATACACCGGTGAATATTTTGGTACTGAGTCACAAATAGAAATACTTTTAGTGGAAGATATTAGTGGAGATATTTCACAATGGCTGTCCCATTGCCAAGAATGATACAGAACGTTTAATTTGCCTTCTGGTTGAGTGTGTCTATTGAGATCTAGGGAAATAGAATCTATAATTTTATTTTATCGAAGATAGCTAGATGGAGCAGCGTTGAAGATATTTTTGATATTGATATAAAATCTGGCAACTGATTGTAGAATGAGTCGTGCAATTTTACATTTACTGTTTTATTTCTGCAGTTGAATTTAATTGTTGCCTACTGATACCGTGTAAATGTCTATATTTGCATGTTAAATCTATTTGTGATATTGTCCAATTTTTTGCACAATGATGCACTCGGATAACTACGTAGATAATATTTTTTTTATCAAAACGCTTGTTGTGAACCTCTGCTTGCTACGTTAGTTGCAAAACGCCCTAACAGAATTTATTCTGTACCAAAAATACGTACACACCATGTTCAAAGCGAAAGTGTAAGCGAAACCCACAATTATTTAGAAAGCCATTAGCAAGCAATTTCGTAATTGATAACTGTTACAAACATTTTGTGTACATCGCACCCGCGCTGAGGTCGTCAACGCCACAATAATGTACATAACACGATAGGTGCCTAAAAAATCAATACGATTCCTAGGAACCTTAGGAAATATCTCAAGATTACGTCATGGTCAATAGAGGATGTCATGTGATGTAGGAATTTTACTTATTAACGTAAACGTAATATACACTGCGATTTCCCTGTAATTCATGGAAATCATATTCACGTCCGGTTATTTTGCTGGTCGGTTGTTTACGCAAATCACATTTATTTTGCAGTGTTCAGTTGGAGCAATTTTTAATATAATGCAAAGTTATGTTATTTCGGCGTCATTCGAGTTTCAGTCCACAGACTCCGTAACAAAGACTGTAAAGTAAATATTTCGACAATTATGCGTATGAACACACGTGAAGGATATTTCATAATACTTGTATTGATCATTTGTCATGGTCAATTCAATTTATTTTTCTGTATATTCATATATATATATCAACCCTGGCTGCGTAGAAATATGCGAAAAATATTAGCGCTTTACTTTCAGAATAAGACAGGTTAATGGTAGATGTATGGCAAGATTATCATGTAGTCAGTGCTTTCTAGACATAGATGCTTTTCGTCTCTGAATCAGTCTTATTGCTTACCTTATTGCGTTGATAACAGACTCGTTGTAGGAATGTTTCGATATTTAGAAAAAGTTTACCTTGATTGAAATTCGTTTGTATATTTCCTCTGCTGTTGTGTCCCACTTGTTCTTCGTGTGTTCCACACCTTCCATTTTGTAGCAAACGCCACTTAGGCGACACCTGTCCCCCACTTTCTACAATATCTTGGGAGTGGATATTTTAGGTAACCATTATGGTATTCATGCTATTTTTTGGTCGGGATAGATAGGTGTAATACAAACAATTACAACCAAAAGTAAATAAAACAACTTTTACGAACATTTTCCGGTTTATTAACTGTTATATATAACCGATATATATCGGCCGTTTACTGTCGATATCCTATATCGGCAAACCCGTGATATCGGGCCGATATATCGGTTGAGCTTTAATCCTGAGGTAGTGTGACAATGAAGATTCATGCGTCCAGTCTCAACGTGAATCGAAATACCATAGGATACAAGTCACAACTGTAGTTTGAAATTCTACCGGTACCTAGTAGTCTACCTCAGGGTGGTTCAAGGTTGCTAGGTTGAGCGGGCCGCAAGTCGGAGAAAACCCAAAATTGATCGAAATACCGCGAGTTTACTTACTTCAAATTTAATAAACAACGAGAGTTTACCGTTCTAACCAGACTATTATCAGTCTGCATGGGTGCCGTTTTTTGAAGAAGATATATAAAGCATTCAGTTATTTTAAAATAATTCCCGAGAATTACCGTTGTATTTTCCGCATCTCGCGTTTAATGTCGCTTCAAATTATATTCTTTCGTGGCAGATATTACTTGAAAGCAAACCAGACACTATTTGGTGGGAAAGAAAATACGTTTTCGCCTTGTTTTTCTTATGTCTCCTTTCTTGTGACACTCATTTTTATTACGAATTGTTATATTTTATATAATTTAAAAACTTGCAGCGTGAGCAAGCTTAGTGTCATTGTTAAATATTAATCAGGTCTGTTTAAGTTGGTATTTCGAAACCTAGCTAAAAAAATCTGGATTTTGCGGCGTTAAGTCGGCTCTGCGTTTCGTCACTATTGTCACATGGCTCACGCTTGAAACCAGAAGAGTGTTTTTAAAGGCACAAAACGTTAGAAAAAACGTTTTTAATAAAGAAGATTAATTATTACGTATTATTTTAATAAACACCGATAAACTATATAATAAAATTTCTGTGGTGCCCCGAGCACGTGCTTATATTGTTTAATGGTTAATCCAGCGCTGGCTAATTTGTAACCTACATAGCGTTGATGTCCTTGACTTCCAGTCACGGTGTGTAATAGACTCGGTCATGTCTGGGACGTAGATGGATAGAGATCACAATTTGTAAATTTTCTCAGCTTTGCTCGAATTGAAATAGGAAGCACAGTGAAGCCATATAAAAGTTTTATATTTTCTAGTCGCTCGGATTAGATAATTTAAAAGCGTTTACTTGGGCTTCAACAAGTTAGTATACCCAAGGAATTTTTGATGATATTATACGTTGGAGCGGTATCGCTGAAAATCTAATACAATTATTTTTGTTTTTCAGTCCAAGTACATAACATTCGAATACCTATTTGATTTTAATACAGTGCCAAATTATATCAATATCACCACAAAATGCCTACAATACATGTTAACAAAAAGTTGTCCTTAGCTGATGAGGCTATACATATAGTTATTGACGGTGAGTATGAATAATTTCATCAGTAATATAAAAAATCTAAGCGCATGAATTTCAGCGAATTATACGAAAACACGGACTCTCCTCATAATGTCGGACTATTATTGCAAATGAATTTTATGTAGAGCTACGTTTGGCCTATTTGACGTTAAACAAGTTAGTTGCTGATAACGTTATTTATTTTACATCGCTTGATCAATGTCAATTTGTTATTATAAATAAGTTAAAAGTTTCAGATCAAAGGATAAATATATATTTTCGTATTATATTGGGAGCATCCATCCCAACAAACCAAACTACATCTTTGTTGTTGAAACAATCTTTTTCATATATGGTATATATATATCGATGATTTATGTAACAGGAAGACATTTTATTTGCAGGGCTTAAACCGTTTCAGAACGTATCGCTCCATTCTTCGATTATTCTCAGCGATGATATTATGTTTGAGAGCCTGGCTCACTATACATCAGATGGCAGAGGTAATCCATGTCCATTTTAGTTTATGTGAAAAACTATTTGTTATATATAAATATATCTCCCTTCACACTGAAATGTAATTTTTCATTTTTTCAATTTTGTTCGTCAATGTTTACATTCGGTTTGTGATAAAATAAACTACTGACTGACTGACTGACAATATATGGTTGCTATCACCATACAAAAATCAACAGGACGGCATCTTACTTCAATTTGTTTTCATATTTCGCAGCCTGAGGATGTTTGATTAATCCACAATATTTTCCGAAGAGTGACCATCTAATTTGTGAAGTGTTCCAATCTGAGTGCTATCGCGCCGCCGTCTGTTTTCACTACAGTGAATAATAGCCTTGGAGAGTTTTAGGATCACCGTCCAGCGATATGCACTATCGTTTTTAGCGCTTGTCACAATAGTGTTTGCGTGAGATTACTATTTTCATGAAAAGCTTAAGCAGTTATATATATATATTTAAAAAAAGCACCTCGATTTGGCCTCATACAACTAAATATCAGATATTTTGTTCCCACGACAACAATGTTATCACATTGAATATTTGAAACAATATTAAATATATCGCTATTCATTGGCATGCTTGTTTTTTGGACCAATTTATAATTACCTTCATATTGATACACTTCAAAATTTTAGTTGATTTTGTATTTTTTTTTAAATTAAAAGTATTCGAAGTACGCGTTCATAAGCAAACAATAGAACACTTACGGGAAATAGGGAAGAACCCCAATAGACAAATATATATACTTGTTACATAATGTTTATAAATTTGAGATATAGCGGTTGAAGTACACAAATTTGCAGCAATGGGGCAGCTGAGTTCTCGGTCTGATTAAATATTATATAATATTGAATATTACATAATACATCTAAAACTATTTGTACGCAACGACCGATCATGTGAGTATGTCAAGTTGAATTATATAAAGAAAAACAGAACATACAGGGTGTTGAGTTGACAAAGTCCTGTTAAAAATGCCAAATTTTTTAATAACCAACTTCATTAAAAATTGAAATTTTAGGACTTTACCTTTTTTATCATGTATATTGCAGGTTTCATTGACGTGAGAACCAGTGAATCACACGGGGGATCGTACAGAGGAGTGTGGCCTATGGGTCCCCTGAGTTCAATGGTTGCGTCGCATTTGAACAAGGTAAACCTGACAAACTTTTATTAAAACAATGAGTCTCGCCTCGTTTATATAAATCGTATAGTAAACCACGTTTTTAATTTTTTTAGTCGGGTGTCATAAAAGTTTTTATTATTCACCATCTTTCAGCGATCCTACGAACGATTTGTCGTGAAAGATCCGATGCAACCGTTTGAGGTGTATTTTCGTTTATTTGATAGTTTTGTGCCAAATTTAGAAGAAATACACGATACTTCACGAACCAATAACAAACTGTTAACAAAGCACAAAATTACAAGAACCTATGCTGCACCGGGTGTTCAGGAACAAGAAGTTTGGACAGGAAGATTAAGAGGAACACTGTACATTCCTCCTGGCAATACTAGATTTCCAGGTATAGTCTATCCGTTTTATCGCTTGCATCTGGACATGGAAACCAAGTTTTGATAGACATGTACAGAACGTTACTAGAAGGCTCATAAACCAATATATTTTAATGGTGCTAGCTATAAAAACGAAGTTATGTATACATGGTTATAGTTTCGCGATGTTTATATTTTACCTTTCAACAGGTGTCTTGAGTATCAGCGGTGCACATCCTGGAGCGTTCAAACATAAAGCAGCCATACTTGCCTCTCATGGATTTGTAGCTTTAGCTGTTAGATACTTTGGAACAGATGACCTACCAAAATACGACCATGGTCTTGACTTGGGATACTTCGAAGAAGCCGCCATCTTTCTCAAAAATCATACCAGCGTAGACGCAAGAAATGGGGTAGGTATAGTATCAAATTGTGTTGGTGCCAGCGCGTCTCTCGGCATAGCAAGCTGCGCCCCTGAAGGCTTATTTGGCTGCGTGGTGGCCATAAGCGGCTGGTATGTAAGCTACAACACTTTCACGTATCGAGATAAAACCTGGAGTGTGCCTGAAACATTCACTTTAAATGCAGAGTCTCTTCCAGACGGCACAATGGTGATTACTAGCTCTCATCCGGATGCCGAAAATGAGACTTGGGAAAATATTGAAGACGATTTGGTTCCCTTTCAACAGCGCCATCGTACGGCTTACATGTTTGTGTATGGCGGTAAAGATACTATACACGAAACGATAATACAAAAAATGGGAAAACACGCCAGAGAAATGTTAGAAGAACAGCATCATCCAAGATACGAGCTTCTCTTTTATCCCGATGCCGGTCACCTAATAGAGCATGCGTATGCTCCACACCAAAATGTTGTGTGGACTTATCGACAGCTTCAGCATAATGGAGGCAATCAGCCAGATCACAGCAAAGCCCAAGAAGATTCGTGGCCGAAGATTTTGAACTTTTTGAGACAATCGTTGACGAGTACGCCAGCAAAGCTGTGATTTAAAATATGGCAAATTCCTGTGAATTTTTTCAATCAAACATATCTCTATATTTTTATGCAACATAATTTTATTTGACGAGGGGGCTGGTTATGATGGAAGTAAGCACGTCTATCCTGAATACGGTTGCACAATTGGCATAGCCAACGTATGACTATTTACCATTATGTATATGATATTTATAAACAGCATACCTAGACCATAGTGCGTTTTATAAGCATTATCTTATTATACGTAATATTATTTAAAATTACCTACTATTTGTCTAATCAATTCTATTTATCAGAATATAATGCGATGTGCTCACTATACTTTTAAAAGCTAAAATGATTGATAAAAGCCTTTGCGATTTATGTAAATCCATGAAAAATAATTATATATAAATTTTGCCCTATTTTTAACAATAAAATTTTGTAATAAAATTGCATCGAATTCCAACTGAATCAAGTAAGAAAAAAATTTGATTTTTCTTGACTTTGATTTTATTTGCTAATAGGTAATTACTTTATTTATTCTATTTATTTTGAAAATTTATGCATAACCCATTGATATTCTATGCAAACAATAAAATTATGACCACTAATCAAGAATCGGAGTGTATGACTTTATGGTACAGCTATTCAGATCCTGTTCAATGCACATCCACTTTAGCTTTCATTTGCGTTCGAACGCCGCGGTTTGAATTCTGGAATTCTTCGTTATACGACGCAATCAGTTTTCAAAAATCAAATTTCAAAGTATATAGTGTTGTTGTTAAAGTAGAAAAATAAAATCCATTGAGAACGAGAATAAATAAACTCTGCATTAAACTAAAAATATGAGAACATTTTTAGAATCAATATCGTGAATTAGATCACAAATCAGACGGCATGCTTTCGCCGGGAAACATGGTGCAATCACTTACGAAGCAGGAGATTTAGAAACCACACGCATCGAGTGTCGTACTAAAGAAAAAACCTTGTGAACGTAGCAATAATCAAAAAACAAGAACAGTTATAACCTCAATTTTTGGCGTTATAATTTTCCTTGAAATTTTTCAGAGTTGCGTTAGCTACAGCTACTAGCTTTCTGTACAAACGGACATCTTTCTCGTCAGCTTCACGCACGCACACAGCGTGAAATATGCCACGTCTTACGTTGAAATCTCCGACGCATCTGTACATTTTTCCTCGGCACGTACGGCACAACTGACGATCCTAAGTGAATACAAGGTATTGAGTATTTCAGTGAAAAGAAACAGGCTTGTATTTTCTTGCCGCTTCCGGTGGGGTTGCAGGCTCGAATCGCATGAGGAATAATTATGTTCGAGAGGATTGCTGGACTGGTTGTAGGATATTTAACGTTACCGCTGATCGGTAACGACTTCTCCATCACCAAGTCCATGCATCAAAACAAAAACGAAACACAAAGACTGATCAATTATTCCCATACCCAACCTGAACTGATAACCAGACGAAAGGTCATGGTTCGTCATATGGTTAAGAACCCCGGAATAAGTATGAAAATCCTATCACCGAATAGTACAATTGCATTATGCCAAGGCTATTTTCGGGTTCCGCACATTAGCTCTGAAGAAGGCTACTAGTAACAACCTAAATGCCTTCTGGGACATATTTTAGTTTCGCAAAAGTGAAAAACTTAACAATTTTTGTGGAAGTTTTCTATCTTTCGGAATGAGTACCTCAAATCCACGGTTGCCTTGAGATCAATGAGTCTAAGTGGTATAATATTCTGTAGCCTCTTCCACAGGGATGTGGAATGAACTCATGAAATTTTGTATAAAGTGCGAGTTGCTTGTTACAAATTTAATTGACATTCCAAACATACAACAATGCAGCTTCGAGTCAGCAACAGCAATATGATTCGGTCGCCTGATTGTTGCGTAATACTAATAACACGTCATCACAATTGTACAATACACAAAAATGCCTTTATCTGAGCAGCAGCACCATCGCTTACTCGGAAAAAGTTGTGGGTTCTACTATAAACAGCTGGTTGAAGATCGGCGGGAAAACTTCCCGTAGGCCTCGCAAATTCGTGGGTTGTACATAGCTTAGTATCGCATCGCTGTGGGTAGCGAGCAGAGGATTTGAATCCATGGTGATTATTACATCACAATATCATAGTTATGTCAGCGTGCTTAAAAGTGAAAACCAAAAAGGTCTTATCCCAGCATGGAAACGGAGATAGAAGCGACAGCAATACCGTAATCAATAATTTTACCGTTTCATAAAATTCACAGTTGATCACGTGGCCTTGTCCATCTTTGATTAGAAATGATTTGCAATATTTCACTCCTTCCGACGTAACTTGAGAATTAAGAATGCCTGAATGTGCGAAAATATTTGATGAAACACAAATAAAGGATCAGCTCGTTTAATTCACCCATATTGACATCTGTCTGTTCGAGTTCAAAATGGACGTAGGTTACAAGGGAGTATTTACTAGGTTACAAAACATAGCATCGAAAAAATTGTGATGAAATTCAAATCAAAATAATTCGATTAATCGAATATTGAAATACTAGATAACAAAAACAACTTTTGCAAAGAAATTTGTAACTTTATGAGCAAATTTTGGCAAATATAACAAATTCTGCACAATACATAGAAACACTAAAAAATTCCTTAGAAGATAATTAAACACTCAAAAATTCCGTAGAAGATTATTTAAAATATGCTATTCAATTCTGGCGTTTCAGTACAACATATATATCTATTTTGAAGACGCGTGACCAGAAGTAAACACAAATTTACCAATTATTTCAAAAACGACCATTGTATCCTGTTTAACTTCCGACCATGCTTGCAGACCCCGAGCATTCGTCGATACAAATATCTTTTTTGGTTTGTATTTTTCGGCTTTGCCTTTCGTCGGAGTGGCGTCAGTCTAAAAATTGTATTTGATCACGTCCGACGAGTATAAATCAGACTAGCATTAATAGTATTGTAGCGAATGTGGCATGACACTATAGATTTTAATGGTATTTAAACCCTTTATATTATTACATGTTGAATTCAATGAAGATAGGCTATCGGGCCGGCATCAGAATTCAGAATGTTAATGATGATTGAAAAATTTAAATACATACTCAAAATATACTAAAAGTTTACTCTTAGAAGGGTTGCGTTAGCCAAAGTTTTTTATATATATCAAAATTTGATTTCCTCAGAAATTTTTACAACCCAGAGTAAAAATAAACAAGTACAAGTATTGATAAATTAGAATAAAATCACTCAAATTGCATAAATGCACACCTTTTTCGTCGCGGATGTACCTGGACGTTCGTTTCCAATATGAGCCTCGCCTCCTTGTAATTCCGGGTTTTGTTGCTGGCTCGCGTGATACTGAGGTTTTGGTATTGGTTGAATCTTGTTCTGTATGGAAAATGATAAAAGTGTAGGCCTACATCCTAAAAAGTGTTGAAACCATGGACTGGTATTACTACTAGGGTATGCAGGCAGGATATATCCTCTAGTCCAGTGGTCGACAAACTCACTACCCAGCCAAATACGCGGTAGCGTGTGGGCCATAATAATTTCCGACTACAAACAATTGGCACATTAAACTTCAAACTATGACGCACGGGCAACTCCTATTGGTGTGTTAGTTACAAGAAACGGTAGACACGTTCGGAAAGTAAATGACATACAACTGACGTGTGCTTTTGATTACGCTAATAATTACTACAAAACAAACATTGTTACGATTGCGACATACCTTCCGTGCGCATATAATAATAAATCAATGAGGATTTTTTTGGTTTCATGCATTAAAAGTGAGGTCAGGTCGTACGAGAGAATTTTTTTCGCGGGCCGCATTTCACCAACGGGCCACAGTTTGCCGACCACTGCCCTACTCGATAAAAATGCGCGCGATATACGATAGTACGCGTCTGATGTCATATTCAATATATTGAATGGAAATGAAAAATATTTTCTATTTGACCTTGATACAGGATGGTCGAGGCTGGGATGGTTGATTGTACCCATACATTGGTGCTTGTGATATTGTGGAGTATTGGTTGGCTCCGAATTGTTGTGGCGGCGGATAATTCTGGAACATATTGGGGGGCTTACTGTAACCTGTTGTATAAAAAATGAAGTTTGTATGAGAATGAATGTGAAATAAACAGATATATTGATGGTGCAGTGCAGTCAATAAGAATTTACAAAACTAGAAAATATTTTGAAATAGCTAGCAATTGGGTTAACTATCAATAAAAGCAACAGGCAGACAATAACAAAAAAAATTGCTGATTTTTTTAATTAATTGTTCTAAAATCAAAATATTCGAATACCGTACGTACACTTTAAGTTTAAATTTATAGTTTCCTCAACTAGATCATTTGATAAAACAATCAAGGTATTAAAATCGTATGTTACACTCAGATATTAAATTATCCCTACCGTAGGTATCCGGAGGCATTTGAAAATGAGGAGGGAACGTTGTGTTTTCACCGTGTGTCTGTGGCCACCAATAACTTGGATTGAAGATAGTGGGACATGGGTGTCGCATACCGGGGTGTGGATACATATTAACATTTGATGGGTGATTGGGAGGCTGGAAAGAGATTGATCCCGAAGATCCCATCTGCAATAATGAAATTCAAAATAAGGATTATATAGGCCTATATATATATACTATCGTACATATATATCATATTTTTTTTTTTAATCAAATTCATTAAAGCTATATTTTGAGGATTTCAATACTAAAGGTTGAATGTTGAAAAATTACAAAGAAAGGCTGATTTTGAGCTGGTTTTTAATCTAAATTTGAAGCCATATTCACCGGAGATTTTGATAAAAGGATGCCAAGTCAAAAATGTATTTTTTCATGTTCTCAACACTTTTTTTTTCCAAGTTTAGCCCTTAAATGATTTTCAGTTCGAAAATTTCCAAAAATTCATTGCTTTCCGGATTTTTTCATCCAAAAATTATAGTGTGTCTCGTTAGGCAATTTGATACTTTGATCTCTGCTTAGTGGAGTTTGATAGCCTAATCGAAAAACAAAATTTTCGTAAGTATTTCGTATTTTCATTGGCAAAGTACAAGCAGTGTCAATCAATCATGCGCCATACGAAAGCCAAATTATAGAAAAATAGCTTCAACGTACACTAGGACTTGGACATATCTAACAATTCATACTTACGTTGTCTTGTAATTCATTTTTTGGGGTTCAGCATAGTGATTGACTGCGGCTGTAATCGATGAAAGTAAAATAATTTGAAGATTAGTATTTTTATTAGAATAAAATACACAAATAACAAATCATACTAAATTCTAAAATATTTCCATCTTTATATCTGAGTTTGCGCAAAAACTACTGGTAAATACACTAAAGAATTATGACGGGCTATCGGTACATAAATTTATGAATCACTTTAAAATAAACTATCTATCTATTTATCGCGTTGTACAGTTGAACTTGTAAGACTGTAACGTTAGCCTAATGAAGGATACCGGTAGCGTTGAAGTTAGGCAGAAGGGTCGGGAGATGTTTCACTTCACTCACGTGATTTCTTGATGCCTTCCCTGGGAGATTTTGTGTTCATCGTAAAAGGAACCTTATTAGGATCACCACCTGGCCACATTTCGTAAATTTTTCTCTGTTTCGATGGAAGAGTGCCGGCGAATGACGATCTATCGGGATTGTTTGATTGTCCATAGAAGGCATTGGAGTTGAAATTTTCATTCTGTGGTTCTTTAGCAAATTTTACTCGTCTCATTCTCCGCAATTATCCGTCAAACTGTCAGATGATGAGTTGGTGATATACGAATTGTTGTCGGCGAATAACAGTGAGAGAAACGGTACCGGCAACGTAAGCGTACTGACGCAGACGACGGAAACAATGATACGAGGGTTAAAGGTCGCGGGTAATAAAATGCGCTGTAGCGGGTCCTGTTAAAATTTGAAATTCTATAAAGTTCACCAATATAAACGGAGATTTTTCTAATCTGTATTGTATATTACAAATAGATAAATCTTCAAAACAGGTTTCTTCAAGTGATATAATTATAGACCAAAGAAACGTATCGAACCGGTGCGAAATGGGCTCTCGGGAGGCTCACGGTCCAAGAGCATGATCTTGGTTGGGAATACATGATCAGATCTTGTATACGTTAGTGATACTTCACCATGACATTATTTGAATGTATACATTGCTATCGAATGGCTATTGTAGTCCCACCATTGATACCTTTAACAATCGACAACTTCACGCGCAACAGGCAAGAATTTTGCGAGATTAAGCAAGAAGTGAGCGAGAATCATTCAAAACAGTTCCACGCCGAAAAAGTGTCATTATTATGTGGAGACATATAAAAATATCTACGTTACAGTACTATTTGCAAGGTATGCGAAGCCAGAAAAAACTTGGGAAATCCATCTAAAAATCAGAGCGCATTCTAAAATGTGGAGGCTTCATCACACATTTTCTCGTGATGAAACTGTGCCCTTTCATCAGCGCCTGTGAGACTATGTCTAATAAATCTCCGGGTTCCATTCAACATACGCACAAACAAGTGATTTCAGAACAAATGCTGCCACACATCAACAATCGCCGGCCATACTTCCGACCTAAAAGACACCAAATCACCTTATTGAAAAGCTCTACCATCATAGCAAAGATCCCACAAATACGAAATCTAACATTTATTTCACATTTTTGGCACAAATGACCAGTCTTTGGTAAATTACAGTGAGGAAAAAAGGCAAGGTAAAAAAAAACTTGAGCCACAGGTTACTCACCCATTGCATAGTACATCTAGTTAAAAACTTCATGCATGTTTAGGGTTTTGTAAATAGTTATCTTTTGTGCAAATTTAAATAGAATATGATACAATCTCCTAGATTGTAAATCAAGGTCTAGTTATGTGAAATTGAATTTGTGCCAAGCTTACAAAATTGATGAAAAGCACTCGAATGCAAGCATACCTACCATATTTCAATTGAAACACACAAGTCTTGAAGGTTAGCCACCAACAATCAAATGAATAAAGTGCGAAATAATGGTAAAACATTGTTCTATGGAACATGTGCACCAAACGCAGACAGGAAAAAACTGTTCAGCTTAGAAATACAGAAGCATGTGATCTATCAGTGGATAAAGCAATTGCAAACATATAAATTATAAAAAAATCTTTGAAGTGAGAACAACCAATAGCAAACTCTTTTGCACAGCTTTCTGATGACACACACAACAACTAACTGAAACTTATTCAAAAATATTATGTTGGTGTTTCAAAAAGAACTTCATAATGTTCCTTCATATAATTCTCTTTGTCCCACATTTCAATTACCGACTCCTTAATCATTTCGATGAAAATTGATGGCCAAAGTTTTTCTAATGCAGCATGTTTTCTTTCAATGATTACTGCTTCGTCACATATTTCTTTCACCAAATCTTGAGCCAATTGTTTCCTGGGATATGCTTTCTAAATTGAATATTAATTACAACTGTTACTATAGATATCACCAGAGTACCTACAACCATTTGTTTAAGTTTTTAAATGCAATGCATTTATTTACTGCTTTAGTTTTATTTTTCATTTTTTTTTCAACTTTTCAATATTATTCCTTGCCAATAAAATGGTGGAAACCAGGTAAAAGGAAAACTAAGTATTTTTATGGAAGAGCAGGATGCCACAAGTGCAGAGAGTTTTTGAAAAAGGGCCTTGGACGAAAGCCTTAGAATAGCTGATCTACTTGCATCAGGGCATCAACTGTGCCAAGAACCATGAGTAAAATTTTGATTTGGAGAACAACACTTTTTTGAGATAAAATTTGAATAATAACTACGTAGCACCTTTCTTATGGCTTGAATTTGTTTTGTTGAATAACATTGCAATCCAACTTTCCCAATGGATTCCGCAGCAACCTGACGTTCTGATGTTTTGTCTTCTTCTGAAATTCATAAGAGATTAATCAGTTGTTAATTCAAAAAACTTCAAAGGGAAGAATATATAGTAAAAGGCTGGAGGAGCCACTGGTTCAGTAGTTACTGATAAAGTCATAGTACAGAAAAGGGCTGTAAAGTCTTGAGTCTTGAGATTTTTCATTGATATTGGAGTCAGAGGTGGACTCAAATTTTCGAACTCCTTTAGCCAACATAAAAATTTCAGACTTTTATTGGTGGTAAACGAAGTCAAAAATATCTGGTAGAAACTAAGAAGCATCAAGTAGAGTAAGTGTTCTTATCAGTCCCTTAACAAGAATTCATGCCAAAATTCCCTCCAACTTTTAAATCCGGTGTCAGAGTAAGAGTTGAAATTTTAATTTTGGGCCCAGAGTAGAAAGGCATAGGGTTTGGTGCCAATTGGGATCAATTATCAATGGCGTAACTTCGTTTGATGATAAAACGAGCAAATGCCTTGGGTGTATAGTCAGTGTGAGGTTCGTTTTATAATTACCAGCACTCACGCCGGGTATTACTAGATTTTGAAAATATCACCTTACCTATCTTATTTTTAGGTTTCTGATTTGATACCGTTGTGGCAACAACCTTCTGGCGCATTTCTCCGAGTATTGATAAAAGACGATATTGTGATAGCTCCGCTGTTGTCACGTCCGACAATGTGCCGAACAACTTTTCCGCATTCAGTGCTTCAACAGATGTAACCTATAGGATTTGAACAATTGGATAGTAGAAAATGAAAACAAAAACTGTGGCCTAATGATGAAACGTTATAATTAACTATGATGGTCGGAGGTTAACATCTTGGGTTCCAATCCCATTCCCACCACCTCACTCAGGGTGTAATAAATTGAATGGGCAATGCTGAACCGAGAAGATTTTCATCTTTCCTTAGTAATCTTTAGAACGAAAAGCACATAAATGTGTTGTATAAATAATTAAAGCAACTGCTTGATAAATAAATAAGCCCAGTGCCTCAAAATTGATGACGGCATATTCAGGGGTCGAGGGTCGCAAAGCAGGAAATTCCCTATTCCCCATTTCTATAATTTTAAATACCTTTTCATTATTAATTCTTTGAAGCTCGAAATGAGAAAGTCTAAATAGCAGGTACGATCTCCACAAAGAATATTGTGTTACGGGATTCCCTGGTCCACACTCGATCGATATAGACTCGAGTCTTCTTAACTGTGCAAGAGCATTGAGTTGCGGCAAACTATGAAGATTGACCTCTCTCAAAATCAAGTTCTAAAAACATGAATTTATTATTAGTTATTAGTTTTTCAGTTTCGAGTCCATCTTGAAACTATGATATCAGATTGTCGACAAAAAAAAAGATGACAAAGATACGAAAACAAAACAAAAAATTATCTAGTTGATTATGGACAATATCACAACAGGGGTTTAATATTATCAATAAATATAAATACAAGCATTACTGGCTAATCAAAGTTTAAAAAAATACCCTTCAAGTTTTTTAAAGCAAAGTTTGAAAATGTAAAACAGTTCCATTACACTTACCACAGCATTAGGAAATCTGTTTCTGATCTTCGGTATGTATGTGCAAAAATCGTCAAAATTTATAAATTGTATTATTATCGTCGTCACAGAACCTGAAGTTTGAACTCCTGCAAAATTCATTGAACAAATTTGAGGCAGGAATAGCATATGAAAAATGGTATATTGATGATCAAAAAAGTTACTTAGAAAAATACCTACTAATGAATCTCTTTTGAAGTTGCCATAAGAAACTATTTCTTTTATATAATCAATATTTAATGATACTGAAAGCATATATTAATTTTACAAATTAATTTCACACGTAACATTTAAGAGTATAAGACATTATCATTTTCTCAACAAAAACCCACCGAGAATGATCAACAAAAAAAAGTAATCCAACCCACCCCAGTTTTTATCCAATGAATCCAGAGCACCAGGCCCGAACAATTGTAAACAGTCACCGTCTATTTCGGCTAAGTACGAATCAGACATGTCCAGTGATGTAGCATGTGGTTGGGTGTTACTGTAAACGATAAAAATAGAGCTTTCCAGCACACAAATGCACATTTATTTTATTCTAAGGAAGATAATCCCTAGTATACATTTTACCAGCCGGGTGGAAGTCCCTAAACCATGACTCACGAATCAAGTATCGTATATGGAAAAAGGTAAGTTGAAGTTCAACTCTAGCCGAGGCCACTCAAGCCGAGCCTTTTTGGGACTAATTTTTATTTACAGCCATTGAACTAAAACTCCTTGGATGAAAAAAAAGAATCAAGTTACTTGATTCATACCTAAATTTTAGAAACACATCTAAAAACTGATAAATAGCTGAGAAAACTAGCCAATATTTATAATTACAATTACAACCTCGCTTAAAAACCATTTGTTAAATCATCGTTAACTTATTGTTGATTGGTCAGTCTTACAGAAAAAAAAATTGATGCCAAAGGTTGGCGAAACATGTTCTAAAGGTAGCAAAGGCATAGATTTAAAGGCTGCTGTAAAGAGACTTCCGAGCCGCGATATAAAAATTTTCAAATCCGCATTTTCAACGGCCAGGTGAACCTAATTCCAAATCCAAATTTTACCATCACTAAAAATATTGCAAGTAAGTGAAAATATTTTCTTAACCCTATAAAACTGAAAGATTTCATAAATGTTTTCAATTCCGAATGTTTTTATCGGACTTTAGGATATAATGAAAGAACACACAAAAAAATTCACCTCTGCTTATTTCCATTATTATATTGTTGAGATTGAGATTGTTGTGTTGCATAACCACGATGACTATCTGAATACGTCAACCAGGCTGATTTATCAGAATTTCCACCACTTTCCTTTCCGCTGCTATACCCCGATCTATAACTTGGAAGTCTAAAAACAAAATTAATTCGATATTGATATGTTTTTTATCTGGTGGTTGGCGCAACATGCTAAGAAGTGTTTTGGAACACGCACACGCTCACGATAACAACTCTGAATACCCTGTGCAGATCCGCAGGTTCAAATCCTGTGGGGAAATACTTATTGCCTGCCCAATTCATTACGGTCTGAGTGGAGTGGTGGGCATGGGATTATAACCTACGAGGCCCATCGACCCACTTCTGCCAATCCGTATTAATCTCACGAAATAAATGAATGTGAATAACACCTGCTGGAGTCACTAGTATCTTCGTGAGACAAAACATCAGCACTCGATCCAAATTCCGCTTCCCACTGTCTCGCTGCATTGTTTATAGCAAGCCTTTTCTTCTCTTTTGCAATCGCCTGAAAAGGAAAAATGAGAACTTGATAAAACAACAAGCAGCATCTTCCCTGTCTTGAAATAAGTCAATAGACCTCAGGTAATTAAAACCCATCCTATGCGGGAAAATAAAAGTAGCATGAAGACAAAAATTTTAACATTAGCTCATGTGGATAACGTGAGACCAGAGCAGAAATTTGCATTTTTTTCAATTTGCAATCTGCGTAGTTCCAGACCTCACCAAGGGTGTAATAAATTGGGTAAGCGTTACATATCAGCAATTGCCTACACAGAGCCTTGTTTAAAGCAATAAACATGCATAAGCATATCATATCCAATAAAGGAAGCCGTAAGAACGTCTGTAACGGTAATACCAGATAGGTGGGTTCTGTTCTAAACCTTCACATTTTTCTTTGCCTTAAATTGCCACTTTTTCATAATGTTGTATGGCACAAAATTGAGTTCCGTTACATAATGATCACAAGACATTTTACTAAATATTTCTAACCATATGATGAGGGATATTTATGAATAGTCTTGCATGAGAAGTCCATAATTACCTTAATAACCATCTAGCCTAACTATTATGGACTGGCTTATTCTGAACTGGGTTAGTCCATAACGGAGTTACTCGACTATTTCTACTGAAGAATACCAAACTTGAAAATTTGTGGGGTCTGATCTTTCCAGAATATATATATCACACTACGACTAAATATACACGAGTGACACCAACATTGAGGTCAGTGTGTTGACAAAAAAATGACTCGTTAGAAACTCAGTAACCGCAAAAAATCTGCACTACTAGTACTATCGCATATTGTGGTTCTCTGGACAGTGCTCATTCGCATTGTTATCAATATGGCTTTACAGTTCTTTTCCTATATAGACAAGTATGTTTACAAGCGAATGATGGGAAATCCTCTAAAACTATTAATAAAAAGGACCTTTTACATATCCAAATTTAATGGGGCTAATTCTCCAAATTATAAAAATAACCGCATTTCGAATCAAATACTCAAAAGATTCGGACTTTTCCGTCAGTTGAGTGGTTGCCCAGTAGTATGGTCCAGGTATAGCTCATTTACTGAAAGCTAAATATAAACTACTTTCCACTACTGAATCTATTTATAACTGTGATGTAATTCGTAATTTCCTAAAACTTATCTAAAAATGTATTTGAACAGATTTAAAATTTCAACACCTAATAAACTACCAAATTCAATACTAAAATGAAAGTTGTACTTTTTATACAGCAAACTAACTCAACAATAAGGTATACCACAAAACAGACATATTCATTCCTTGTAGTAGGCCTAATAAAAATCTGATTGGCAAACAATACATCTTGTTTACTGATAACATGTAATACAAAAGCTTGATAAGACAGGGGTGGGATTATTCAATCGTAAATTTGTAGGCTGTATTATGTGAACAGGATATTTGAACAGCTTACAAAATTTTTGCTAGGACCATGTACGTACAAGGGTTAGAACATGCTGTCATGGTAGTTTATTGTTATAGTAAGCTCGACTATTGTTTAGCTCCAGATTTAGAACAATTGGTTATGTATGTTTGATATAGTGTTAAATGCAGTATTACCTATAAAAAAAAGTAATCTCGTCAGACAAAAATTTATACTATCCGTTATGTCATACTAGTAAAGCGCAGTGTTGGGTACGAGTCCCTAAACCTGGGCCGAGTCACGAGTCATCCAAGTCGAGTCATTCACGGAGTTAAGTGTCTTCACAATCTCCTCAGACAAAAGGTCATTCTTGCTGCAATGCCAAACAATAGTTTCTTCTTTATTCAAACGAAAGTAACAAACGGTTAAACTTACTTGTTTATGAACTTCTCTTTTTCTCTCTTCTTCCTTTCGAACCATAACAGCAGCAACTCTTCTCTCATCATCCTGAAAATAATCATAATATGGAGGATTAGTCGTTGCAGTTATGAATTACTAAGAGCTCTTAACCGTTATTTAAAGAAGGTTATGTCTAAGTATTGAAAAATTTTTTATTTTCTCAGAGTTTCGAAGCTGGAGTCAAAGTCAGTCGAAGTCGGAATAAAGTCAAAGTATGAGCCAAAAATCGGAGTAGGAGCCAAAAGTCAGACTAAGAGTCAAAAGTCGAAGTAGGAGCCAAAAGTCTGAGTAGAAGCCAAAAGTCGAATTAGGAGCCAACATGTTTTACGACTCAGATTTAGGAGTCAATGGTAAAACTCCACGGCCTTACTGCTGCGTAAAACATCAATATGATCTGTTACCTCGCATCACTTGCAAAAAACCTTCAATAGAATCTCACCGTAACGCGTTTCGAGTCCAGTTGTTTTAGCTGCAGCATATTTTTCAGAACAACTTGTTTATACCATGACTCGCTAGTAATTGGATTACCATCAAGTGATATTTCGGACAAAGATGATGACTCAGCAAGACATGATATATCCTCCCATCTACGAAAAAAAATTAAATTTGGGAAAATGCATAAAAGCTGCAAAAAACGCTGTGGATACATTTATACCATCCGTGCCCGACTCAAAATTCATGGCCCTTTTCGTACGATTCTCAACACTTGTGGCCTCCTGCTTCGGTATAAAAATAATTAGATCTGGTTTCAAATGGTTTCCACCAGATATTTTGTTTGTCAAATTAAGCCAACAAACGAAAGGTAAAAGAATAAATGCACCACAGACAGTCAAAGAATTATTACAAACCAGAGTTAATTTACTTTAAATTACGGTAGCCATCACAAATAGTATCTAGTGAAAGCATTTGCTTGTGACCGCTATGGAACTCCGACGTGGCCCCAGCCCCCAGGAAGGCCCGAGGCTCCAGTTTTAGAAACCCTGATCTATACTCGAGCAGTGCCATAGTTGAAAAAGGAAAAACAAAGTATGATTGTGCAATCCATAGAAATAAGTTTGAATAGGTCTAACAGCCGAGTAAATAATACAATACCTTGAAATGCAATTGTAGCTTAAGAATAGCCTTTGTAGTGATGGTAAGGATTCAATTTCCAATATAATTCGTATTTTATTTCGTCGTAGATTGAGTTCAGTCAATGTATCCATGCCAGCCAAGTTATCTACTTTCTAAATATAAAAAAGAAGAAAACTGACATGAATTTTCATGTTTGTCAATATTAACAGTTGCTTGTTTGCAGTTTTGTTCGAAGCTGAGAAGTGACGCACATAAAAACGATAAACCAACAAATACCTCTATTTGATTTCCAGCCAGATTCAAGACTCTCAATTCCGTTAAATGTTTTAAATTAGATATCCCTTCAATCTGATTTCCGTGTAAATCCAGGACGTCGAGTTTCGTGAGGTTTTCCAAACTACTTATGTTGCGAATTCTAAAATAATAAAAACAATAGAATAATGCTTAAATAAAAGAAGGTCACATCAGTATCGGTTGCCAGCTTCGCTGAAAAGATCAACGGACAAGAGTGATAGAAGTGGTCAAGCGCGAAGGAATAAGAAGTATTTCCCTTAAATTAAAATAGCTAAGTTTTCGAGAAATATCGGGTGCTATGGGACTCGGAGGGTATCTGAAAACTACCAAAAGTAATAGTGTTTTAGTGATTCCTTCCATAAGTAAATACTGAAAATTTGAAACTAATTGATGAATCAGAAAGCAATTATTCCAAACAACAACAAGAATTTGCCAAAACGGCTCCTCGGTCCATGTTGTGTCCTAATAATATATGATGCGTCTGCACCATGCTTATTGCAACTGCAACGCTAATCGCTCTAAAGATTTCTATCAATGTAAGCCAATTGCCAACTCACCAGTGGCACAGCCAGGGGGGGGGGTTCGGGGTCGAAACCCCCCCCCTTTTAAATTTTCTGAAAAGTGAAAAAGTTGCCGATAACACGTGCAATTGCCTTCTGCTAAAATCGCCCATGTTTTCATCAGCGTGTTATTTAGGCTGTAAACGCCCTTACGTCGGTTTTTATTCTTTCTAAATCTTAAATTTGTGCCACGATAAACATGATAATTATTTTATTTTTGTACTTTGCACGGAATTGTGAATTCGTGAGTTACTAAACGTTCATCGGTGGCGAGGTTCTAAAGACAAAAGAAGGAGTAAATCCGCGATCTAAATTTGATTGAAAAGCGACATTATAAAATACTGAAAATAAAACCGTAAACAATATAAGTTTTGTTGAGTCCCGCGACAGTCTAAAAACGCTTTTCTAGTCGCCAAATCGCAAAATTTTGTGTGCTTACGGCGCACATTATGTTTGGTCGCCGTTTAGGAACATACCGTCACTAAAATCGAAACACGGTTTTTGTGGGTGGGATTTGCCTTTTATCCATTACTTTAAAATTGTCGTAGAAATTTTTTGTGTTATCATTAAACAAGGTTGAAAACGCGATTTTTCCCGGTTTGTGATGATATATAAGATAATTAATCCGAAGTATATCCATCAATTTTTATTGTACTGAAATAAATTTTACTCCTTGAGAATTTACAGCAGATTTACGGATTTTTCAGGAGGTTTTATCTTTAAACATAATCAGAGTGTCAGCATTGCGATTGAACGGAGTCAATGTTACAAGCGCATCTCAAAATTGTCGAAAGTGCAAAATATAAAATATACGGATCAAAACAATATATGATAGGCGACGGGCAGTTACCACAAATTTTTATTTTTATGTCGGCAAATGGTTGAGGTATTTTAAAATTGTGAATTGTAAAAAATTGTTTTGTTTTGTCGACGCAAACGCTAGTTAAATTGAAGACAATTAAATTAATAAAGCAAGACATTTTAAATATGCCCTTATCGACCCTTACTTTGCACAACAGAAAAATCATTTTTCGTTATAAACGTCGGCTCTTTTAACAAGTGGCGTAATTGCGGCGATGAATATGTATTTTTGATTTAACGATATACTTCATATGCATTTTCATTGTACGAAATCAAATTGTACTTTTCGGGATTTCATATCAGTTATTGAGATTTTTCTAACGGCGATAACGAGTTGGCAAGATTCCAAAAATCTGTATTAAAATTAAATACACCGTTTATCTCATATTTTTATGTCTACCGATCGCCGTGGCATTTCAGAGAACTAATGTTTTAATTTTGACGTAAGAAGAAGCAACCGCGAGTTACGCTGGACACAATTAAACTAATATATAAAGACATTTTAGAATTTTGTAGTTGTCAGAGATTGAATATTTCACGCGACATGAATAATCATTATACGCTGAATAGACGTCCCTTTAACGAGCGCGTAATGCGAAGACTGTTACAGACCGCAATGGGAATTTATGATTATGAACCCCCCCCCTTTTGAAAATCCTGGCTGCGCGCCTGCAACTCACTATTGTCAAAAAACTTCATTTTACCCATTTTAGGAATAATATTTAAATAAACACGCAATTAAAAACAAATACGATACCTGTTTTTTCCAAGCATCAAAACTCTCAAAGATTTCAGAGCAGATAGTCCAGTCATATCAGTGATTTGATTATCATATAAATCCAGAAATATAAGACGACGAAGATTAGATAAATGTTGGATTCTAGATATTTGGTTGTGTTGATAATTCAATAGTCTTAAATGCTCCTCCCCCTCTAGTATCGGACAAACAGCAAGCTTCCTCCTGAATGTAGGGTAAGAATTTAATTCAAATCTACATACGGGTTATAATCGCCCGTAGTCGGTGTTTAGCATGTTTACATTGGATTCTGAGCCGTAATTTAAAAAATATATTTTGGTATTAATTGCACATGCAAGTTTTTATAATCAAAATTTGATTACTTCGGAGATGGAAACCGAAGCTCGATAAAACTTATTCACAACCCAGAGTCGGGAGCTAATATAAAAATATAGCTAATGGACTTGTCGAATAGCTTCATACAAGCTAATACATAATAATGTGTAAAAATACTAATAATATAGAAGCAAACCTATCAAGATTTAGTCGATCTGGATTAGAAGCTCTTTCTTCTGCAGTTCTGTAAACAATTGGAATTCCGGGAGCAGAAGGACTTTCCGCAAATATTACACGATCTCCTGGAGAACATAAAAAAATCATCTTAGAAGAAAGAGCATGGATGTTTCTATGTCAAACATTCGACCCCGAAGAATTGGACCTATATGAGGGTTTCTCAAAATGGGCCTCAGCTCTCCCAAAGAGCCACAAAGCAGGTCTCTATGGGCCACGTGAAGAGTCTTCACTGTTGTAATAGGTTGTAGGTACCATTCGAGATTACTACATTAATTTGAGGTAAATTTGATGGTATCATATATCCTCACATATAAGTCAAGTTTAAAAGTCTAAAAAAACGGTTAGGCTTATATACGCATAACTCTTACTGAAAAATTCAGCTTATGTGCACATGATTCTGATCGCACGCTAATGAAATGACACCTAATGCTGACTTAATTCCAACAGATACAACTCGAACCATGCTAAGTTCTCATGATAAGAGCGTACAATTTTAGGGGGTCAGCTTTTGGCTTATTTGCGCGAACAGCTTATTAACGGGGATAATTTGTTCAATTCTTCAACTTTCATAATTCTTTGAAATTTCGTTTGTTGACTTTTCATTATTGAACATGGTGAATGAAATAACTAATGTAAACACAGTAAAAACAAAACTTGATATTTTATTATGGAAGAGCAGAGACCACAAGTGTTGATAATCTTTGGAAGATAGCAACTGATCATGGAAGTTTGAGAACCACCGACTATACTTAATCATCACAAATTGAATAACATATTAAAAAGTACCCGTTTGAATCAAAATATTCACCTACATTTATCAAGGGTAGCTAATTTTAGACTGGTCTATCCCAGATTTTTCAGAATAGTTTTTTTCTCTTCTTTTTTTGGTCAAAAAAAAAATCAGAGACAGAATCACCTCTTCAAGCCAAAATTTTAGACAAATCGAAGTTAAAACTATGAAAACATACTATGATAGATAGACATCAGAAATAAAATGTCCAAAACTTACATCCCTAGGAATTTGTTCAGTGCCACTTTGGCCTAAGTCACCTTGTTTTACCTTGCATCCCATACAAAATATTTCAGAAGTTGTTGAAAACAGAATAAGCCAAAGTCCAATATGGGGGTAAAAAAACAGAAAGGAAGTGCCAGGAAATATTGATTACAAAGAAATTCTTACACACAATTAAATAGCCAGAGCTCAGGGGTTTACTAAGTGTGAATATCTAAAAATTCAAAATTGTTTTATGCGATTTTTTCAAAACTCAAAATTGTGAATTAGGCCTGTTCTGTTCTCATCCGACCATATATTCTTCATTTTCATGCCATTTTCTGGTACAAGAACATTAAAACATGCTTGAAAGACCAATAAAATATAATCTGGCATACCTGGAAGGCATGGAGTAGGTTTCTCTTGTTGATTATCATGGTTATGTTGGTGATGATGAGGTAAAACTGATTTATTACCTTGCATTGGATGTCTGAAACTGGGATAAGAGAAAAGAATAGTTTGAGAAACCTTGATATAGGACAATTGAGAAGTGTAAAATACGCGTTGTTGCAATATTCGGTACTCCCGTAGTGTGTGTACCAGGTTAGGGTTAGACCATAATTCTATTTCGATTTTCTTTATTTTAGTTTTATTACGAGTTCGGGGACTAGCCAAGTGACTCCCATAGTATTTGCACTTGAAATTATGGCCCAACCCTAACCTGATAGGCTGATACCATGTTACGGTGTCCGCCATCTTGGTTCACATACTTCGGTAGTACCCAAACCAGAACCAGTACCGGTTGCGATATATGTAGCCCAGTGCACTATATCTTAAAACACAAGATGCAACTATTTGTATATATTTTTTTCTTTTAAATCACAACAATTCTGTTTATTAACCTAGATGATCCACTCGAGTGTTGGTGCTGTAGATGAGTATGGTGATATGACGTTGAAACAGAATCAATATCAGACACAGGAAAATCCCGAACACTTGTACTTCCAATACTTCGCCTATGAGTGTCTCCAGATGAAAACTGAAATATATTAATATCAAGTATTTTTATATAATACTGATTGGAAAAAAAGAGGATTAGTCAGTCGTTTTTTGACTCGACTACAACTTCAAATCAATTCACAAATTCTACTCCAGTTCTTGACTCTAAGGAGTGTTGGTATCGCAGGTTTCACATCTCGGGATCTAATCACATGCGAACCCCCTCATCCAGGGTTCAATAAATTTGGTAGGCAATGCTGAAACGGGAAGTTTTCAGTTCTTCAGAAAATGCTAGCTCCTTGTAGATCATTCAAGATCAGTCACTGCTTGAATAGGGCCTTGTTTGGAGCAAAAGACGTGAATAAAAGTCGCATAAAAAGATTGAGAATGTACCATCAGCCCTGCTCAAATATGAATAAAACATGCCATACTTTGGGAAATCAAAATTTATCTTTACCATAAATCATTCTCATAAACTTACCTGTGAAAATTCTGTGGCAGAAGCTTTCGATGGTGAAACAAGTTGTCGACTTTGAGTTCGATTGTTTGAATTATTCAGCAATCTTGTGTCGCTGATTGTATGTAGAAGCATAGGTGGACCTCCTATGGCTGATTAAGCCGAAAGAATACCACTAAAAGTTATTCGAGAATTTCTTAAAATACGACCACACATCCTCGCACAGAAAAGGAATTTCTGATACCAGTGGTCACCTGCAGAACCCCTGGGTTGTACTGGCGCAAATTGATTGGCAGTGCGTACCAGTAAATGACAATAGACTTCAGGTAGTGTCTCAATAAAGTTAAGTGACTTGAGTTCCACAGTTCTGATTTAGGTTAGATATCTATTGTGGGGCAAATGGTCAGCATATGAAGTTGACTTTTGAGTTAAAATAAATATAATACCTCGACAGAAGGTTCAGAGTATTCATATGAAGTGAGATTTATGCAATTGGGATAAATGGGACAAGACATTTTCGAAAATCCATTCAACGATAAGAAAAATTTGGGTAAATTTGGTGAAAATAAAAGTAACAACAATTAATATCTTCGAAATGTATAAATTCTAAAACCTACATTGGCTAAAAGAATGTTTTCAAAACTTGAAATTATTAAATGGTAAAATAAAAACAAACCCTGAAGACACCTACCTGTGGTACGAATAGGTGCAGACACTACACTGTGAGAAGAGCCAAGATCACTGTGAGCAGACAACCTGGAAAATTGATAAAATTGTCATCAATTGTTGGATTGTGAATAGACCTTAGTCATTCCATATCCATCATGCTGTAAGAGTTGGGACAAACCTTCTAGAAATTGGGCCATGTCCTATTGGTAGGTCTGATGGTCTGAAAGTTACTGCTTGCTCTCTTGTTTGTCTGTCTGGTGTTTGTCGAGGTGGTCTTTCACTTACTGGTGTAGCAGTAGCATGAAGGGTTAAATGTACAGGATGAATTCCATGCTGAAATATAGAAAATATTTTATACACCAGACATACAGACAGACAAATATAATATCTCTAACTAAATTTATAAGCAGGTTTCGAGGATTTGTATGAAAATGAAAGAAATCTTATTCAAATGTTGAAGGTATGTAGCCGGTATTCTCACTTTTACTACAGCAAAATAAATAAACAAAGAAGCTTACGATCAGCCTGGTACAAAGTAACAAGGAAGTTGTTGGGCGTGTATTGAATAAGCGACCTAAAATTCTCCTGTAATTTTTCATTGACATACTTTACATACTAAGATTATATACCACAGACGTGATGTTGACATTTCATAACAAGAAGTTAAAAAAGATACCTAAATTCATATATTGTGCTAAATTTGATTTGACCAGAGACGTGTAAACTGTGATGTCTGCTAGGATTACCACACAAAAGGGCGAATACTATAATTTAGAAAAAAGAAAACATTTGAAAATAATACAAGAAAAAAGATGCTCTTTGGGCTGGTATCTAATCATAGTTGGAAGCATATTTTTAAAAAAAGCTACGGAAGTTTAAAATTATTATTTTTAAACTTTTGCTTTTTTGGACTGAAGTCCTCATAATAACATTATAAAATATCTCTTACAGAGTCTCTTTGTGATCCTCTAGCCCTGAATTTACCAGGGTGATACATGGGCTTCATCAAGAGTTAGTTTTGATATCACCTGAAATGAAATTAATTGGGTTTATTTTTACTATTCATAAGATGTAAGACATGAATACTATGGCATTTTGTTTGTACATTCTAACAAATGAACACCCAAAATTGAAATGACCTTTTTTACAGTGATACACAGCCTATCCAAAGGAAGAATTTTATTGTTTTTTTGGTAAATTCTATTTTGAATTCTGTGCCGTATTACTAATACTCTTTACTTATTTAGTATTATTGTGAAATATATTTTCTACTACTTTTCAAACTGTACAGAAGTCAGAGTTCGAGTTGCGTGAATTATCCATTAAAGAATGAACAACAAAATAAGTTCTATACAATGAGAGGGAAGAATAGAGAGCAGCAGAATAGGCAAAAAGGGTTGAGTACCATTGGTCTGCCAAATGTATCACAGTATAACAGCATGGGTACGGTATAGGCTACTATTGAAGTATTTCTAAAAAGATAGCAATGCTGACAAAGTATGATAAAACTAGGAGCCTTTACCCCAACTAAAAAATCATGTTTTTACTTTCATTTCAAAATGACAATGAAAAAAAGTATACCTAGACTCCAAATTTATTTAAATTCTTAAAATTGCATCTCCTCATATCTAGGCATTCATACAAATAGTATTTTTTTTGCGTTATTAGGCTAAATTTACACTGAGTTTTAAGTATTGACCACTAGGAAGTTGAAGCATAACCCATAAACATTGATCCAATATCATAAAATCAATAAAACAGCTTCTTCTGATCATTAAGATCAATATTGCGACTCTGATAACACAAGCAAACAGCAACTAGGGTGTCCAAAACCAATGAAATATTTGAATAGAAAAAATTGTAATTCACAATTTTCACGGTTTCATATTTACGTAAATAGATCCTGTAGGAATACTTGAAGGGAAAATTGACTAAATTTTCAAATACCAATTTATTTAGATGAGAAAACCATAAACTTTTTGGAAAACCGGTCAAAATATAGTGTGAATTTCACTGAAAATGCATTATTATGTCATTTTTAGCCATATTTTTTTATTCATGTATTCTAATTTTTAAATTTTGTTTCAATATATTTTTACATGAACATTTACAATGAAACAACAAAACAATGTTATCAAATTGGTTCTTCACTTATAATAAAGAAATAATAGCATACTTACAATAAGGTTCGGGTAAAATTCTTAAAAGTTGGCAGAATATCCAAGTTCAGAATTACATTATGAGATGCCGCATAACCATGCTTTTTTAATAGAATTCAATTACTCCTCTATTATACAGCTATAATAAAGGAAATACATTTTATAATATTATAATGTGAGAATCACAATTTAAGGTTGATATACATAGTTATACAATTGGGGGGGAACTAGAATGAAAACTATGAAAAAATAGAGGACTGAAACCAGCATGAAATACACCCTAAATAAGCATGGTTAGAGAAAATACTAGGTTTTATCAACGGTCACTACTTGATCAAGGATGAAAAACTTGACTTCATTTTCACTTTTTTGAAATCCTAGCAATTTCAAATGTTTTTGATCATATGATGTAAATTTTTTTACAAATTTCCAAATGTCAAATTTACAATTTTATAATCATTTTTTGTGACATATTTTAAATTTTGGCCTTATAAAACTGATATGTTCGTTCAACCATTCAAATTGCACAAAATAGGTTATTGTAAATTACATGAAATGAAAAAGTCAACATTGTATATACATACATCAGTGTTTTGGGGACTCGAGTTGGTGATTCACCTCGGAACAGAGTCAGCTATTACAAAGACTCAAGTCATTCGAGGGAAATGACCAGAGACTAAAAAGACAATTTTGGGAATGTCGCTGTAATGCAACTAATTGAAAATCTACAATCAAATTTTATACATTTATAGAATCTGTGACTCGGAATTGCCTTGCGACTCGAAAGAGCAGCTTTCCGACTTGACTCGAAACTCAGGGGTGCAAGTGACCCACCGACTTGGAACCTCATGAGTGCAAGTAACTGGACCTTTGGAATTTTGCTGAACTCGGACTTGAGACTAAATGGCTCGACCCAACTTGACTCAAGTTTAGAGCCCCAAAACACTGATATAATATAATATTTTGAACCAGAAATCGTATATTATGGATAGATGATACAGTATCAAAATTTTATAACAGAAGCACACAAGCACGGGAAAGGCAATTTTCAAACAATGGAATGAATGTTGGATCAAACGGCTTTTCACTTCAATGATACATAAATAGATATTCCATACGCAAACAATTTCAATATACCAATTACCAAATATTATTTAATCAGGTAAAAATTGTATTAGAAACATGGGACACAATTTCATATATTTTCCATTTCCATATCTTAACCAATTAAGGAACTACTGCTAATTTACTAATAAAGAAACAAATTTACTGAAATATTTTATTAGTGTGTAACAGATTAGATATAGCAAAAAGGGGAAAAATTGTCAACATCGACTATTGCTAAGCAGAACACACAGCCTTACATAGCACAACAAAATAATATGTTACCAAGCACGATCTATCTATGATTCCCGACATTAAAAAAACAATCATTGAACTCTTAATAATATCAAATCTTGCATGAATTGACAATGAACCACGGATAAATGTCTAATGAATCCATGAAACAGTAAAAAGCATATGGTAAAATGTTACGTAATTTTACGGTATATAGAAAAAACTTCAAACAATTTATTTGGTCCGAATCATGCTATCTGAATAGGTTGAAAATTAGGCATCACAAATGAAAAAAAAATCAGAATACAGTTTTACATTTCAATCGGATTTATATGTGATTCAACAATATGCGTGTAGTTATATTGACTACAGAATGATACATACACTAACTACTAACTAATTCATGATTGTCAATTTTATGAAATGGCAGAAAGCTATAGCAAGCACCATGGATAGAAATGCCTTTTCGAATTAATCTGATTGCTGTTTATTGTTGTATAACAAAATTTCAAATTAGAATCAAAAAATTTATAGTTTTTTATATATTTTGATTTTGAAAAAAAAAAGTTTGGAAATTTATGACACTGTATCCATGGCGATAACAGTTATGTTACTCATCCTAAATCAGGAGCATGTAGCATAGCGATAGCGTTACTTGGACTACTAAAAAGTTAGCAAAGATTTTTCAATTTCTCAAAATGTCGGAGAAAGCTTGGTACACGAGTTGAGCGACTTCAGGGGCTCTCGTCTTGAAAGCAAGAGAGTAAGTAGGGTCACCAGGCTGCGATCTCATTTCCGCCAAAAGCCATATTTCGTTGGTCAATTTGAGTGACAAATAGATCATGTCTTTGCCATCGACGTTCCGTTTTGCAATGGTGAAAACGTTATTTGCATTCAACTTGTTATTGGCACTTTCTGAGGACATACCCGGGATGTTTCCAATATCATTGAGAGGGAATTGACGCTCATTAGAAGCAGGGATATCCTTCCAAGTATCGAGAAATACTTTTCTTTCCATGGCGCCTTCTTCAGTGAAAAGAACATATAATGGAATCGTGGTAGCGAAATAGAACACTCCAATATTATTTTTCACAGCTACTTGTAGGCTGTTAAGTGGTTCCATTTTTTGTACAAGACCACTCGTGGACAGAGGAATAGAAACCTCTGCACTTTGATTAGGGTTGATCAATTGGATATTCAATGGTTGAGCTGGGGAAAGACCAAAGCTGTTCTTGTTGAACTGTATAGCAAATCCTGACATTGCCTGCATTGCCTTATTTGTGAATGTCAAATCCATCATGATTTGATTTTTACGTCTCTGAAAGGTTCCGTGAATTTCCATTCCCTTTGATTTTGTGGACTCCAAAAACATTTGTTTCGGAGCAACATACGATCCTGGTTGCATAGACATGCTGAAAATATCACCCAAGCCCCCTAAATCTGATTGGTTTGAGGTGGCCCCTGCCATGGGAGGTGGGGCAGCGGGACCTCCAAGTAGAGAATCCAAGCCCCCAAATTGGTCCATAATAGGAACAATGGGTACTGGCGCAGTTGTAGGCATCGGTGGTTGATAAGTTGGAGCGATGTCCAAACCTAGAAGATCAGTAACGAGAGCATCGTGAGCTGGAATAATTTGAGTTGCTGGTGCCTGAGGACTTGTCTCCGTATCTGATGTTTGTGGCTTCTCTTCTGCATCTGTTTTTCCATGCAAAGTTTTCCTAATAACAGCCGCGCCTTTTGTCCCTTCAATAAAAGCACTTGGAGGCTTATGATACACAGATGCGAGAGATGCAATATGACATATCAGCTCGTCGAGCAAAGTAGGCTCCAATAAATCAGTTTCCTCTGAAATCAAAGGTTTTTCCGCTAGCACGACATCTTTTGCTGCAGCAGGATCAGTTGACAACAAACGCCAATATATGTAACCACGATCACGTAAATCTGGGTTGTCACTATCTTGAGTTGCAAGACTCAAAACAGCCTGCACCAATTCTTGAGTTTCAGTTGGTTTTTTGAGGAAAAGCTTCACGATCGCAGTGAGCAGTTGAAGTTGGACTTGAGTGCTTTCATCATGAAATCCCTCTAAAAATGACTCAAGCAATTCATCAGCATTGTCAATTCTCTCAGCGTATTCACCAATGATCCAAATCATACTCGCTCTCGCTTCAGGTTCGTCCAAAGTATCTAAATTTTCACACAGATTGGCAATGATGCTTTCGTATTTATTAGGATATTTTCTGAATATATCCTTAATAACAACAACTGCTTCTTGCACAACATAATTCACTTTAGTACGAATTAAGTCGAGGAGCGTGCTCACACATCTCTCGGCAGATTGCTCAACTTTGATTGCACAACGTCCGATCGCACGGACAGATTTTCTCACAAAATCGACATCCACTTCTTGAGCATATTCTTTCAATTCCGCAAGAACTTGAGCAATATTTGCCTGAGCAGCTAATCGGATCATAATATCAAGCTTTTCCAACTTCACATAAATTGGGTCGTTGTATTTAACGAAAAATACTTTCATTTCGTGCTTCAAAATTTCGGGGCGTTTTTGAACAATCAGATTTATGTTACGAAGAGCAACATATTGAATTTCTGGCTCTGACGATAGAAGGGTTACAAGTGGTGGTGCCAGTTTTTTCAGAAGTACAGATTGATAATCTTTATCTTCATTCAACAAATCCATAAGCCGCATAAGCACTTTGACAGCAGAAAGCACAACGGCAGCATTGGCATGTTGTAAACGAGGTGTCACTCGTTCCGCAATACCTTGCGCTTCTTTTGAATCGGTTGGCATGTAATTTGCCAGAGCGTCAAGAATGAAAATTTGGCCCCATTCAGTGCACTCATTCAGGGCAGTAAGAAGCTTATTTGTCGTGGGTGGGGTCATGAAATCAATTTGGCCAGCACGAGGAGATGTTTCGCTGATTTCTGACAGAGCCGCAACAGCATTTGCAACGACCATCGGATTCGAGTCGGAAAGTAGATCTTTTAATGCATCAAGAAATCCTTGATCGTCCACCATTGTGGCGTTGATGTCATACAATTTTGCGACACACACAGCGGCAGTTTTACGAACATACGGATCTTCATCTTTCAGACACTTTCTCAGCGGTTCGCACAAATACTCAGTAATTTTATCAACACGAATACAGCCCATAGTACGAACAGCCAATGCACGAATTAGAGGATTTGTATCATCACAATCTTTTACGAAAGTATTGACAGCCATGATAGCCATATCAGGCTGGCTTTTAGCATAATTCATCAAATACAAATACACAAGCTTTTTCAATTCCAAATTATCCGTTTGCATACAATTAATAACATCAGGAAACAAAGCACTAACGTCTTTTCCCACTGTCATGCTGGCGATCACTTTCTTTACAGCTTCTTTTCGTTTTTCCTTCCTTTCGCTGTTCAAATCCGCCTTCAGTTCAAACATCTCTCCCTTTTTAGTAGTGGTAAAATATCTTGCATCGCTCATCTTGATATTCTTCAATCAAAAGGATTATGAACTAGAAATTACTCTTTGGACAAATATAACCAACTTCGAGAAACAAAACTTACAGGTGAAATGTAACGGCCGGGCACCACAGTAACCACGAAAGAATCCTCAGTTGGTTATTTCCGAATGTCATATGATCAAACTTTATTGGACATAAAATCGATATAGAGGACTTGCACGGGTCACGTGACATTGTTACTGGACGGCAATAAAACAAAAACGTCCATTAGGCTCCTGTCAGTTGCAAGTCGGATTATACGTTTGCGTTTTGTTTGGTTGTTGAAAATGGTTATTTCGTTGTTCTGTTGGCTGTACGTATAGTATAGACATTGTCGAAATGGACCTTCAGTAATATTCCACTGATTTCAAAAGATCCTGAACGTCGCGCAATGTGGATACCAGGTATCATCTATTGCCTATTGGCAGAACTGCTTGGTGTCAAGTCCACAAGCCATCTTACTTGTGTTTCACTGTTTGCGGACAGAACTTCGTTGATGGTGAGTGATAGTGTGCCGTTATCAATTTCTTTAAATATTCACAAGCTCCCTCATTTCAATGTAAAGCAGATGACAAACTACTGTTATCAGTAGGCCTAGGCGTGGGCCTACTTGCAGTTGCAGACTTGACTTGTGTAAGACAGTAAGGGATTAATAATCAACTACTGTTATTAGTAGGTCTAGGCCTAGTTGCAGACTTGACTTGTGTAAGACAGTAAGGAATTAATCTAATAATCAACTACTGTTATTAGTAGGCCTAGGCGTGGGCCTACTTGCAGTTGCAGACTTGACTTGTGTGAGACAGTAAGGAATTAATAATCAATTACTGTGAGGACGAGGTATTGTTTCCTGATTAGCAGGTAATCTATTACTAAGTGTAAAAGGTTGAATAGATAACTAAAGTTTAACACCACTGGTCATGCAAAAAATAACCAGAATTCAATTTAATTCGCTATCTAGGAATACGCTCGCCACCGAATCTCTGATCACCCTGGTAGTTTCACAGGTTTCAATCTCATGCGGGGATAGTTATTTGCTAGAGGATTGCAGCTCCACTCCCACCGAGGGTGGTTCACATGACCGCTGATCGGTTACGACCATTCCCCACCATCCAAGTCCATGCTTCTGAAAACAAATAACTGGCTCCCCCCCCCCCCCCCCCCCCCCCCCCCCCCCCCCCCAGATAAATCCTATCCTAATGGTGCTTGTACAACTGATTCAAAATGTCTTTTTATTGTCATTGGTAAAAAAGATATGCTACCCGGAATCAAATTCATTTACGACTAGTGGATGTGGTGGGATATGGACATAAATTTCACCCGGACTGGGCATTTCGAATCGAATAGTAAATTATTCGAATCGGTTCAGACTGGAATTTCGAATCGCCGCCATCTTGTTTTTATCTTTCCGCTAATGGTCGAGGTGAATTCCCCAATTTTTTTTTCATTGAAGTCATATTTTTTCAACGAAATTCTAACATATGACTATTTTCTGTAGTGAGTTATTGATAAAACGTGTTTGTTATTCTGTGTGAACGCTCAGTAATCTATCTGAGTGATTTATTCTATGTCTTCAGTAATTCATTTGTTGAGGGGACCAATTACTATGATAAAGTCGCTTACAATTTTATATTTTCAAGTATTCGATATTCGATTCGATTCTGAAATCACAAGGTATTTGAAAATGCCCAGCCCTAAATTTCACACTCCTTGATCGTTAGATTTTATGAAAACTCTTATCTGTATCCATTATATTACAGATATGGGTGCGACCATGGAATAGATTGATGGCAAAGTATAAGTTGCAACAAGACCACAGTGGCACAAGACCTCAGCTTGCGTGACTTGATAATACATCCTCAGTATCCATTTATTGATGCTTATCGTAATGACAAAGTAACTTGTCATTACTGTGGATTGGTGGAGATAAAGTGTCCATTGTGCTTTAACGAAATCATCTTCAAGACACCCTATCAAGAAAAAAAAATTGTTTCGGTGGGTCTGGTCGTGAAGGTTTCAGTCTAACGTTAGACACCGATACTACAACCAGATACAGTTGCCAATGAAACTTGAGCGAGGCGTAATATTGCGACTTTGTGATCTGAAAGGAAATTCTGATGGGTAGCCAGCTAGCCGCAACCTTTTTTTTTAAAGAATATTATGAGATACGACTTAAGAGTCTAAACTTTTATTTGAGAGGGGTGTAACCCAAGCTAATTTGCAAATAGTATTCATGGTACCAAATGTATCACACACTTTACAGTAATTATAAATTATATTTGAAAAATAAAGCACATCAAATGTATTTTTAAAAAACAATTGGTTTTATCTGCAGATACTAGGTTGATATTGAGATTGACCATTTCAATGCTAAATTTTCTTTAGTCAAAAGGCACACTTGATTCGCAAAAATTTGTGAATGCGCACAGTACACCAATTTGTCTAATGTTTTGATTCCATAGGCAGGAGGTTGTGGATCGGTGCTGCTCAGGATGGGATTTTTTTGCCTCTAAATGCATATTACGTGTATTTTCACATGAATCCATTGTGCTCAGATTCGACTGTTTTCAAGGTCTGAAGGCTCCAACAGCCTTATTTTATGGGTACACAAGAGAATTTTCAGTGTGGCATGCATGGGTCAGTTGGAGTCACTAACCTCAAGATATCTATAAGCAAGGATAAGATAACCTGGAAGTAACATTCCATAATTTAGAGTGAAAAATGTATCTGCCTCCACAGCCCTTTCAAATGGAAGATATGATGCCTCGGGGGTAATTTCTATCAAATATTTTACAGTATTATGGTTCTAGTGAAAAGGGGTGTAGGCGGCTTTTTTTTAAAGTGTGGTAGGTCTAGTCGAAAGACACATTAAATGTTTATGCTAACAACTGCGAATTAATATTGCAACGCATACAAGTTAACAGAATTTGTTGAAATGGTTCTGCCTTTTTCCTTTCTTCAAAATCCTCCTTTTTCTAACTATTCTCTTCTTCTCTGGGGATGGCCAAAAATTCAAATATCGATGGGACATGTAAGCAGCTGATAATGGGTTATCTTCCCTTTTTCCTGAAAATAAATTAAACACTAATCATCATTTGACAGTGCCAAGTTTGTGTATCAGATCACTAATAAATTACCTGCTAACTACCAAAACAATCAGACAACACCTTCTGACCATCAATGAAGATTTCTTTCAATTTAAAACGCAACTATGCCTACCAATATGGGTAGTTTTTAGGATAGAATTTATCTGTGATTGGGGACAGATTGCAAGGTGCAACATCGTACGATTACCATTCTATGTCGGGATTAGTTAGCCAGTTATTTGTTTTAGAAGCGTGGACTTGATGGTGGGGGATGTCGTAATCGACCAGCGGTCGTGTGAACCACCCTTAGTGGGAGGAGAGCTGCAATCTCCTCGTCCCCTCGCACATAACTATCCCCGCATGGGATTGGAACCTGTGAAACTCCCAGGGGGATCAGAGATGCGGTGGCGAGCGTATTCTCAGATAGAGAATTCAATTGAATTCTGGTTATTTTTTGCATTAGCACTGGCATTAAACTTTAGTTATATATTTGAATTTTCACACTTACTAATAGATTACCTGCTAACTAGGGAAACAATACCTTATGGCAATTATTGATTAATACCTTACACGAGTCAAGCCTGCAAGTAGGCCTAAGCCTACCAATAACAGTAGTTTGTCATCTGCTTTCCATTGAAATGAGGGAGCTTATGAATATTTAAAAAAATTGATAACGGCACATCATGACTCACCATCAACGAAGTGCTGTCCGCAAACAGTGAAACACGAGTAAGATGGCTTCTGGACTTGACACCAAGCAGTCCTGTCAATAGATGATATCCACATTGCGCGACGTTCCGGATCTTTTGAAAACAGTGGAATATAGCTGAAGATCCAATTCGTTGTCTATACTATACGTACAGCCAGCGGAACAATACGAAATAACCATTTTCAACAGCCAAACAAAACGGAAACGTATAATCCGACTTGCAACTGACAGGAGCCAAATGGACGTTTTTGTTTTATTGCCGTCCAGCAACAAGGTCACGTGACCCGTGCAAGTCCTCTATATGTCAGTTGGTGGAAAATGGTAAAATAAAAAGTGTAAATATGTAGAATAAGACAAATTCATATTACAAACCAGCGCAGCACAACAGATAAAAAAAAAACATGTTAAGGCGTAACAGATAAAGAATAAAATACCCGGTGTTGCTTGGATCGTTCGTTATATTATAAATCGGCCTAATCGGATTTTTCCCAGACAGAGAAACAATGTTTAAAAAAAAGACAATATTGCAGATTTGTATTGAAATATAGCGCAGTGAATAACCTAAATATAGAATTGTGTAGATCAGTATGCGAGAGGCTCCTGACCATTTTGTTCACACTGTGATCAAACTTTCATGAATAATTGTGAAAATATAAAAGTAAGAAAATAAAAGGACAGAAAATATGTCGACAAAGAACATTTTCTTACGTAACTTTGGATACACACATATTAATATAAAATCGAAAGCGATCAAAACATATAATGAATTGATAAAAACATGTCACGCGCCCGATAAATAACATACCGATAGTAATAATGAAATTCGGTTACTCAACATTTGGTGGTTGGCCCATCAGCGGAAGCGAATTTGTTACAAATGGGACGGTGCCGCGGGAGCTCATCCCGGGACTGTGGGTTCATTATCTGACTCGCAGTTTGAGCTGTCAACTCATATCATAAGGTGAGATAGCCCACTCAGTACGGTAATTCCATGTCAGTACTTGTTTAATGAAACCAACCTCATCTGAAGTCTTGGCAACTTTTCCGAATTTCCGTTCTGCGTGTCGCCCTTTTTCCCAAATGGCGGATAAAATATCTATCTTCGCCGGGTTTACGACCACGACTTCTCGAACCTGTCACATCTTGCATCTGAGACTAGAGTTTAAGAATATAGTTTTGTGGTAAGGTCTTGGTCGTATTTTTGAGAAGAAGAAATTTAAATCATATCATGTCAAATACATTCCAATCATGAAAAAAACGTCAACAGTTGTGCGTCATGTCACAGGTTCACAGCGTGTGAAGGTAAAACAAACGCCGGTTTCTTTTGGAGAAAATGAACGAAATCCCCTCAGTTTGAGAAATAGCAATGACTTCAAAGTAAAATAGCTATCCCGTTCCAAATATTGCGAACAAGCTCAGAGAAATAAAAAAACACGAAAAAGAATATCAAAATTATAATATATTTGTTAACCACTGAAAAACAATATACACAAGTGAAATCCAACTACAATATGACATTGATCAAAGCAAATAAAAAGATTAGCAGGGTATATTCGATATATACCAAAGTATATGAGTCTACTTGACCACCCTTGTCAGACGCCGATTCTAACATAGCATCAATTTCAATATGCACCATATTTAGATATGAAAAACTACGCCAACAGCAATTTTTACACTTGCATATATCTAATTAAATCAATTTAATTACTAATTACGATAAATAATGAATTAATAAATAACAGTGCTCATAATTATATTGGTGAAATTAATTATGGGTGCAGAGAACTAACACAATTGTGTTATAAGTAAAATAAGGTAGTAAAATGTAGGAAGACCAAACATAACACAATACTACTAATACAAATTCCTAATTAAATTGTTTTAAAACTTATTCAAAATTAGAAAAATGTAAGTAGATTAAATTTTATTTAAATGGACATCTGAAAAGATTGCATCACAAAAATATCTTGTTCTCATAAATACATTTGAACCAGAGATGTGTAATCTGTGATGCAATTAAGTCTAACACTTCAATAAGCGCCAGGCCCTAAAAACCCTAATTTTCCATTTTTGCTCAATATTTGAGCTTATAAAAATAATGAAGTTAAAATAAACAACCTAACCAAACTAACAAACCTATAATATAAAAATGAAAAATTATCACAATTAAAAAAAATATAAAAATCTCAATATCTAGCAGCAGGTGATTAAAATAGGGGAAGAAGATATACATGCTTATTAGGAAGTAAGTACTATGGTATATAACTAACGAGAATACCATCAAATTTAAGCTGATGAGAAGCAAATTTAATACAAAATATCTTTACAAAACTAGATAATATATTTGTGTTTTCATAACATGATATTAAAGTTTTGGTATGCTGCATAAAAGATGGAGCATATTTATATAATCGTGAAATGATATAAACTATATTATTCTTATGGACGGAGTCTATTCCAATGTCTTGTTGGTTCTTTATCGGCTATCCAAGAAAGAAACCCTGGTTGGACTACCAGACCGTGACCTGGGTCGTCCAGGTGAAGTTGACCCTGACATTCCAAATAGTCCAGGTGATGGTAATCCATGCCGACGCAACTCTTGCACAGCTCTTTCCCTGAGAATAAAGAATGTTTCCAGATTATATACTCTAGCAACTACAGAATGCTTGTTACTGTTGATTTCAATATTACAAACAGTTAGTACTAGTAGCTCGTCTCGCGTGTAATGTGTGCAACGAAGTCGTCACCCGATTAGGTTTTCATATGACTATTCTCATTCAACATTTTATGCCAAAATGCAAAAAGAACTTTGATAACATATTCCATCCACTCGAAGGGTTGTGTTCTTAGCATCATTGTTACAATTTTTTATTTATTCCATATACTTGTATTGGGAAATAAGGTCATGCATGAGGTCGATTATGCTATATCTTTCAACAGACTGCCAAAAATGCTTAGTTAACTCTTGAAAACATAGCTAAGTCTTGACTTCTTCTAATCATTGATGAAAGTCTGAAATTCTAAGTATTCTGAGTTTTTAAAGTATGCAACTCCAATGAAAACGGGCCAAAACTCAGAATCTCGACTGCCGTTATTAAAAATGCACCCACAAACCTTTCATATCTTTCATTTGTTAAATGCCTTCTTGTTGCTTCAAGTTCAGATTCCAACTGAGAAGATTTTGTTCGTAATGATGATACTTCTCTGGATAGACTTTGCCTATATAAAATGCAGTAATATCAATAATAATAAAAAGACTAAATTCTCGGCTGAGGATCATGCTGGGCAATGAATATTGAGTTATTCAGATAATTGTTAAATTTAAGAATCGCCGGTCGGCACATATTAACAAAGTCCGCGTACTTAACTAGTGTGATGCACAAGTCGCCACTGACTACCGAATTTATTACACTCAGGGTGAGGAGGTGGTTATGGGATTCAAACCGGAGATAAGTGATATGCAATGCCAAAGCAGTTTAATTCTAATGATTTAACCACTAGAATAGGCCACTGTGGCCTTAACTTACAGCTTGCTTTCATTGAGTGACAATTTATCGCGAAGCATCTGTCCCTCTGATTTTATTTCTTGCGAGTCCAATTGAGCTTGAAATTCTTTTTCTCTTGAGTTAGCGATTGCGTCCTCGAGTTTTTTTGAATTCATTCTCTCGTCATCGAGATGTTTGTGAACGATGTTGAGTTCACGTGTGAGATCATCAAAGTTTGATTTCAGCTGTGATAAAAAGAGAAAATTGTAATTTCTCAGCTCAGGGCTTTAGTGTAAAGTTGAGAAAAATGTGCACTCGTCCCTGGCCCCAAATTCCGTGCTGATTTTGCTCAAGCTAGAGTAGGATTTTCAGGAGGATTTTAGGTAGGAGTAACTAATTTTGTTTGCCTCCTTTACATCAAGTTGTGTGAATGGACTGAAACCTATGGGCAGGGGGAATATTCACTTGGCTAACACAGAATAAGGAAAATCGGAATAAAATTATGGCCTAACCCTAACCTGGTACACATACATACGAGAGTAATTTCATACTTTCAACGGTTTCATTCCTCTTTTTGGAGGCACATAAAAAATATGACCTATTTCAGTGAATTTTCTTACATCCAATCTGAATTTTATTCAGTATTTTAATAAATACAACCAAATGCCATTGCCAAATTGAATTAATTGATTTAAGATGAGAACCATAACAATTTCCATTAATTTTTCATTTTAATACAACCAAATACCATACCTCCTCATACTCAGCAGTTCGAGAAGCATATTGTCTCATGCATTGCTCTTTACTGATGTCTAATTTGGAGTTCAGATCTCGGACTGAGTTCACATCTGAGATGAGTACTTTTCTCTCATCTTCTATATGGTGTAAATCACTCTCCATCCTATGCATTGTATTACGTAGATCTTTGACTTGGGCCTCGTAAGACTGCTGAGTCTGAGGAAAACAATTTTAGAAGCTGAGTTTGATTTTGTTGGAGGTTATTACGTGGTCAAAATATTGGAAAAAAAGGAAAATGAAAATAAGTTGTGGCCGCGTTTGACTAGCGGTCAAAAGGTTAAACTCGGCATCGCAGGTTGCATATTTTGGATTCAATTCCCATGCCCATTATCTCCGACAAACAGGCCTTGCTATCTAAACTGGCTGAAATGAACCAGCTTGGAACACATGGCATTTTCTTAAACGTTCAATATCGTTGACTGTAGGCCTTATTACTTATCGATTTTGATCGTTACTTATCGATTTTAATCGGTAAGTATGTTGATAGGTATTTGTCTGTCTGTCTGTTTGTTTGTCTGTTAGATGCACGTGATATCTCACGAAAGCGAGATTGAATCTGCTCCAGATTTTGCATGTGCATTCATCATATGTCGTACCAGAAGTCTATTGATTTTGGATGAATTATGTCGTATAATTAGCGAGTTATTAATTAATTAGTGATGGGACACGAGGTGTCACTATGGAGTAAGAGCGCTGTTTTGGGGGATCCCCTAACTTTCTGTTTTGGGGGATCCCCTAACTTTCGATCATAAGTCTTCGGTCTTTGACCGATATTCTCGTTTTTTAATTGTCAAGATTACAGCAAACTTTTTAATTTTACCTCAGGATAAATATTTTGGAAACCACCCTTCTTAACGAATTGTTAACTTAACACTGTAATAGGCCGGGTGTACGAGTTGCACAAAGTAAATCAATTACACAATTTTTTTATTATCAATTTTACCTACTTATTTCTTGGTGTTTCTTGAGGTGAGATAAAGAGTGTAGGTGTTCCGGGCGGGACAAAAGTGCTGGTGTGGAATTATGCTCGAGTATATACTGATTGACGCAGTACGATCAGGAAAACCGCTATGAGGTAGTACACTCTTAGAAACACTAGTGAAGTTCTTAAAAAAAACTTTCCTGTGTGGTTGGATATGGATTCCAACCTGCAAACATGCACAGGGTGACCCACTTGGAACTTACTTGCATATACTGCATTATTTCTCGGTCAAGTTCCTGAGTTTTTTCTGCAAGTCTTTTCTTCTCGCTTTCCAGAGACATAACTTCAAGTTTTAATTCTTGAGCTTCGTCATTACTTATCCTATGCTTGCTCTCAGCGGAATCACGCTCCGCGGAAACTTTACGATATTGGTCTAAAACATCTTGCAACTCTCTTTCCTAAACAACGTAAATGAGAATAACAGATATTTTGAAGTTAACTCAATGCCATATCTACTAATTTCTCTTGAAAAATGATTAAAAACATTCAAAATGAATACCAAAATCATTTTGATAGACCGAATCATAAATTTTGAATCAAAATTCCCCGAATTTGGATTGGCAGGAGTCAAAATTTTTCACGAAAACCCAGGAAAGCAATACTGTTACTAACAGTTTTTGAAAGTCATTCAAAGAAGGCTTGCATATGCCAATCTTTTGTTACCAAAATTCTATTTCCTTGGGAGTTGGAAGCAAATTTTTTTTATGACCCAGAGTCGAAGTGAAAATTGTTTTAAACTCTTAGTCTCTGTTTTAAAATGAATTTCTTAGTTAGACTGGGTCCCGTTTCTCGCTCGGAATTTTACGCAATTCGGAATATTACTTTAGAAGCAAGTCCATTCTCTAAATGTGAGATTCTGTTGAGTAGGTCTTGTCCCCGGTTCCTCTCATCATCTCTCTCCCTCATGACGTCATCAATTTCTTGATTGAGATCCTGATTCTCACGAGTGAGTTGCGAGTTGTCGTCCTGTAACCTGTTAATATCAAATATTGGGTTAAATTGGTGATTCTCTTGAGTTCACCGAGTGAGGGAGGGATTTTGTCCCCAGAGAAACGCTCCATGCCCCCTGAGGGCCCTGTTTGAGAAGAGATTTGAAATTGTTTGAGTATGTTGCCCAGTAACGTACCTTCGTGATTCTCTTGTCAAAACATCTTTAGCTCGAGTTGTTTCACTCAAATCCGTTTGCGAGTTTTCGAGTTGTCGTCGCAACGTTCTACATTCTCTTTCGCTATTTGCTAGTTCCTCATTCACTGCTTCGAGTTTCGTCTGGAGGAAATATTATTGGAAAGTTTTTTATTTCTAATTATTTATTATTACAACGCTTTTTTCACATCTTCCACTCGAAACAAGTCACCGTATAAGCAGCTACTACATAATGAGCCATATGTAAATTAACGACGTTTCAACTAAGAATAGAGTAGGATTTATTCCAGAAGAGAGGGCAGTCTATAAGACAGTCTAATCATGTGGCGAACCACAGGCTCTCGTCCAGCAATCCTCGTGCACATAAATATCCCTCCACGATTCGAACCTGCGAAGTCAGGGTACTCAGAGACAGAGGTGCGATGACGAGTGTTTATAATGCTCGACACGATGCGCCAATCGTCGGCACAGAATACTACTTGATCGAATACATTTTGTATCAGTACATACTAAAAAACAAGTAAAATAAACTATACCTCCAAGGTATTAATAGACATTTTCTGTTCCACGATATCATGCTCTCGTTTAGCAAGTAAGTCTTCGAGGGTATTTACTCGCTCAGTTTTCTCGTCAAGTGCCGCTTGAAGACTGTCTTTATCGAGATCGAGTGAGCTTATTGTCGCACGAAGTTTTGAGATGTCTTCGCCTTGTTTCGTAGAAGCATCTAGTAAGTCTGCTATTCTCGTCTAAAAAATAGTAACATTCACTAAAAATCAAAAGTAATTAGCTCGTTGACAAAAATAGTTAATGAAACTGGATGGTACCTCTAATATCTTAGTCCTGTCATCTGCTGCATCTAAGTCTGCTGCTTTTCTGTTCAAATGCCTTTGTGTTGTTTCGAGGTTTGCTTCTGTTTGTGCCTTCTCAATTCTAAATAGAATAACTATAATTGAGAAATGCGCGTTGGCCCATTGTTTGAAGCATTGGACCCATGTTAACCAACCTCTCGAGAAAGGAATTTTGTTGATCCTAGAGAGGAATCTTGCTTAGTATTTGCTGTACTATTACTAGTATTCTTTAGTTATTTATTATTACTATAAAACTGATTTAGGCAAATATTATATTTATAAACTACTTAAAATGTACATAAGCAGGAGTAAGAAAAGCGCAAAATCCTGGATTAAGAATTCATTAAAGATTGAATGAATATGGTTTGCATAGCGTGAGAGAAACATAGAGCTCCAAAATATATGATGGGAGGTATTTAATGAAAATTGTTGGAAACCACTGCATCATCTCACCCGGGGTAAAATATTTGGGTAGGTAATACCGAACCAAAAAGATTCTGGTCCTTCCAACCAATAGTTTTCCTTACCTAGCAGTGGTGGCTTATGCAGAGACTTGTTCAGAGCAAAATGTGTATATAAAGGTGTCTTATAAATAAATGCGCATGATGTGTTGAGTTCGGAAAAATTTTCACCCATTCCCAACTTCGAGCCGTTCCAAAAATTACTTTTGAGTACGAATTCAAAATCCCAAGAAAAACAATACCATACCTCATATCCTCAAGATGAGCTCGCATACTCTGTCTGTCCGCATCTGCATCTTGTAATTTCAATCTGAGTAGCTTCACCTCCTCTTCTTGATTAGCACACACTCCTTTGAGTGCATCCAGTCGAGTCTTAATAAAAATTTACACAAGTTCAACAAAGAAGATGCAAATTTTCTATGCGATGCTTATTTCGTGCACGTAGCTCAGAATTACAAAATGATGAGAAATATGGACTGTACAGCTTGAGCACATATTTCTTCGCAATATTTTCAAATAACATTTTTTCCAGAAACTTCCCTTTTGTCTTGAGACCCTAACTGTTAGGTAATGTACTTTAGGGCCACATTCTACATATTTACCTGAAGTTCCACTCTATCCTGATTTAACGAGTGTAATTTATCTTCCGTTATATCAAGCTTTTGTTCCAATCTTGTTCTTTCATTAACTGCTTGTTCTTGTTGAATCTTAAACAAAAAGAGATAGAAATATTTCACACTGACCCACTCTCGCGCATTTCATCTTTAAAAGGCGAATTCTTCTGCATGTTTTCAGCAAAGACATTTTCCCAAATATGTTTTTGTCATATTTCAGTCATTGGACACAAAATGGACGAATAAATCGTTTTGCTAAATTTTGTTGTTGTTAGGAAAAAATTTGCTTTTCTATGAGACTAATGGACAAATGGATTTCAAATTTTCAGTACTTGAAGATGGACCTAATATTTCACCGAAAGATTTCTGTTTTATTTCATTGGACAACATTTAATTCTACCGTGTACACTTATCTATCTTGCACGCTTCCATCATGCCATCCGGCCTAGGTCATGCATTGATTAATATTTAATGTGTTTGGCATAACAAAAACTGACGCAAAAAGTTCTCACTCAGAGGATGACACACACTCGCTTGAACTTACCTTGAGTCTTTCTCTCAAGCTGTCTCGTTCTGTAGTCATTCTCCGCAAATCAGTGATCGCAGTATCTCTCTCATTCTCTACTCTATGCAAGATAGCTTGCGCTGTTAGAGAAGCTTTTGGTGATTTTGGAGAAGTTATCGCCATTCTTCTGAGCCTTTGCAGTTCTTCGTGAGCCTAAAACACAATTAAAAAATTATATGATGCTTATTCATGCCTTGTGCTCAGAACAAGGCCTGTCAAGCAGCTACTATACAAACCCAATTTATTACACCCTTGGGCAGGGGGTAGACACGGGAGCTAAACTTGAGATTGTAACCTAGAAGTAAGTCTCACGCTTTTAACACTTGATAGAAACAAAATGCTGCTCAGCATTGGGTACAAGATCAGTGATTCTCAAACAGACAGACATAGACAATGTTGTGAGGGGGCGTGAAGCTGATTAAATATAAATATAATTGTTAGATTTGATGGTGCCTGCCCTATTTTGGATATTTACATTTCTTTATTTTGAATACCCACATTCCATCCCAGGTATTTGGAATGAGTTTTTTGAATAAAACATACTTTCACCTTACTAATAGTACCTTTTTGTAAGCAAGTTATTTTTGAGGTGGGACACGAGACAAATTCTAAAAAGTGGGCGTGGCGCGGCTTAAAAGTTGAGAACAACTGTACTAGATAGTTAATTTTTCAACAACTAAAACATTAAGTCATACTTCAGATCCGAAGTCCGAAAGGACGAGATTTTGACAACAAAAACTTTGGCGTATGGAAGATTTTTCCAATTGCCTATTACGGCTATTACGAGGGTTTACTTTATGATCTTTTGAGTCCCAAAAATTACAACTTTGCTTATCACAATTGATTCTAACCCCGATTCTGTAGAATTTTAAATTTCAACTCAGTGAATTTGAAAATACAGCTCTGCAAAGTTTAAGTACCTGTTCATAAAGCATATTGCTCTTGTCTCTTTCTTGCGACAAAACACGAACATTCGCTTGAATTTCTGCCGTGTGATTTTCAAATTTGTCCAACATTTTTTGAAGTTCGTCCCTTTCTCGGACAATTTTTTGGAATGTCGCTTTACTGACAAGATCTTGGCTGCCGCTAGTTTTCTGTAATTAATAGATTAAAATATTTCAGTATTCTGTTAAAACTCATTTAATGAGATAGACATTTTCTGGCTCAAATTTTAATCTGATTGAAGAAAAGCCAACAAAATACTACAATGACACAACAAACAACCAATGCATGTGTTACAGGACTTTGAGAATCCAGGAAACTTTACATTCGACTCTGAACCTAATTAAAACAGAAAAATATCATTTGACTTCAACTCTGAAATGGATTTTGACTTCGACTTCAGGCGAAAACAAATTTTGATCAAAATGAAGGCCTTCTCTAATAAACTGTTAGGAAAGCATGATCAACTTTTTTTTATTTTTTAAGCTCTTGTGGGAAATTTAGAATTCACTTATCACCATGAAGTCTGAAAAATCACTTACTGGTTGTTGAGATTTCTTTAGTCCAGGACTCCTCGATCTTCCTCGAGCTCTGGTTACACTCGTTGCTTTTCCACTGCGATTCTAAATTGAAAAATATTCATTTTCATATTGCAGATATTCTTGCTAGATATCAAAACAATGAGACCAATCGCGCAAGAGACATTGTAAGTCTATGGTAAAACTATTATGGTAAAACTATCTGTAAATATGTCTTGGACAGAACTGTATCTCTTCATATTAGCATTTAACAAGTGATAATTTAGGAATTTCAACTCTGGTTTCGGGCGGTCACATAACAGTGACATTACAACACCAGGTCAGCCGGTGGGCAGAAAATCCAGCTTACAATCAGGGATGTCAATATTGAAGCAGCAAATATATTTGAATAACATTTTTAGTGTTTATACTACCCACGGCATCGTTTGTCGAGAATACACAAGCAATCGGCTATGTTGACAAGCACACAATATTGAAACACAATCAGAATTTTTATTAATTATGATGTCACAGCCCCAATTCAATTCCATGACGAATTACTCAAATTCGCATAATCCACCTTTAATTAACCCAACTTGTCCCATCGCTAATAATAACAATTAAGCAACAGAGGACGTTGCATCCCGACATGTTGCAAGCTGCTACATAATCAATGGCCACATTTGTATACACATGTGTGTTCTTACTGGAAAAATTTTTTTGGTTAAAATTTACCCCTGTTTGGAGCAACCCAATCTAACCTGTAACATAGTGTTGAGTACGTCACACTCATCCTTATAGTAGTCCCGTTCTTTTTCGAGGGTTCTGATGAAAGAATCGAGTTTGCTTGGACTTTTGTCTCGTCTGTGTGCTTTTTTCGGACTGATACGATATCTTTCCAATTCAGTGGCAAGTTTTTTCTCTAAAAATTTGAAAAGAAAATCAAGATAAAAAATGGTTGAAATTAATTGTCAATAAAACCAACATAGCCCAAAGCAATATAGCATGCAATGTCTCTATGAAAAATATTGGCACAATCATAAGTCGTGAACATTAACAGGAATTAGCAATGCCAAAATAATTAATAGTGAGTGCAGTGTCTCAGTGGTTAAAGCGTTAGTTAGACTTAACCATGATTGCGTTGAAATCTTGGGTTACAATCCCGTCCCACCACCTTACCCCGAGTGTAATAAATTGGAAAGGCACACTCACAAAATTAAACACAATTTCCATGTGCAAGTTAAATAACAAGCAATGTTTTTAATAGAGTTTTTGGAAGGTGCGCACAAATTTCAGGCAAATCGTTGATGGATCCATAACACTAAAAAGGTTGGAAACCACTATCATTTTCTATATACTTTTTATACGCCTTTAACTCTGGAAAAGGCACTGTACTGCTACTGCTATGTAAAAAAACTTCGTCATTTTAGAAGGCCAAATGCTTTATAAAAGTAGACTACTCAATAGTAAAATTAACTTACCTTTTGAGGTTAAGTTTTGTACATGATCACTGAGTAATTTTTTGTCGGATTGTATTTTATCAATAAGATCATTCAGATTTCTGACTTCACTCTTTGAAACAGCATATTTGTTTTGAAGGTTATCATTTTCTCCCATAAGTTTTTTCTGGTACTGTACGGTAAGAAGCGTAAAGAGTTTAAAGTTAAAGTAGGCTTGCATAAGCAAAAATATTGTCATCAAAATTTGATTTTTGTGGAATAGTGAGCTGGAGTCGAGATCGAGAGTTAAAAAACTAAGAGTTCGAGTCGATGATGAATTTTCCCAGAATTGTAAATAGGAAATTTTGTAAATGCCTATAAATGTTAAATGTTGCGGAACTATTTTATTTTTTCAAAATCTATATTGTGAATTTCTATTAGGTAAAAGTATTAATTAGAAAATTTGCCATTTAAATATACAAGCAGCCAATATATGAAATGTCGAACATAGATAACAGTTTTTTTATGAAATATTCAAATGTCTTTTGCTTGGAACAAGATTCAGACAAGCAGCTCCTGCTAGGTAAGAAGCTACTATAGTTTTTAATGACCAAAATCCATATCTTTCGGTATTATGTACCCAATTGGGGTGATGGGTTTTACACCCGATATTTCAAAGTGCAATGCCATCATAATTTGGGTAACACCTTGACCCGTAGGCCACTGGCATTTTTCAATTACTTCCATTTCATTTAAGATTGAGAAGACACGAAATTATTAAATTACCTCTTCTGCTTCCAATAGCTTTGTTTCAAGTAGTGTTTCTTGTCGTTTGGAATTCCTTAATTCTATTTGTGCATCTTGAATCTCTCGGTCAGCCATTTCAATTGCATTCTATACAAGATGAATGAATTTAATTCTATGGTATTTAGGGCTGGGCATTTTCGAATACCTGATGATTTCAGAATAAAATCGAATATTTTTGTTCAATTCGAATCTCGAATACTTAGGAGATATATAATTGTATGTAACTTTCTTATCGTATTGGATCCTACAGTCACATAAATTACTGAAAACATAGAATACATCACCCAGACAGACTGCCGAGTGTTCACACATAATAAAAAACATGTTTTCGTCAGTTAATACGTCCAACCCTTTAACTGCCAGGTCATTGCACCCACAATAAATAACTTCATTCAAATGATTTATATCATTGGATAGGATTTACATAATTATCATGGGTGGAGAGAAAAGGCGATAATACGGCTTAACCATATAACAAACCAGGGGCTCTCGTCTGGTTACCATTCCATGTCTGGTATGGCATTAGTTAGTTATAACTAACATAACAAACCTTTTTTTCATCTTCCATTTGCTGAGCGAGATTATCAATATTTCGTAATTCAGCATGTAACTTATCAACATCTCCTTCCAATCTATGATTTGCTCGGATCGTCATTGACTTTGAATCCTCGAGTTCATTTATTCTGTCTTCCAATTCTTGATTTGTTTTTTGCAGGTATTCAACCTAGTGATAGGAATAGAATATTGTGCTATAATATATAACAGCGTTTCTGAAAATGGGCCATGAAGCGGTTCTCTGAGGGCCATGGGCAAATGCCTTTGCTAGGTACCATTCCTGATGACCTCATTTATTTACAGAAAAGTGACTGTGGATGGCACAACACTTTGGCTGTAATGCCTTTATTTTTTTTTCTTCCATTATCCTAATGAAACATGTGATTGAAAAAGAGTAAAATATACTAAAGGTGTGACTGGGGAGATAGTTTCATAATTTGCATAATATTCACTATTATTCAAGTTTATCCAATCATAATTTATATTAAAATGAAGTGGTTTCTCAATAAAAGAGGAATTCCTTTCTGTGGAAGAATTTTATTATTTTGGGTGGGGCAGAATTCTACATTTTACTGTATTTGTGTATAGCATTATTATTAATATATTACTGACTCAATATTATTGTAATACATATACACACATTAAAAACTATTCAAACTGTACAAAAGCCAGCGTGTCAGCTGCGTGTGTCACGAGCTAAAGTTCCAAAGAATATTTGGGGTGATGAGGCTTACTGCCTTTCCTCCCCCCCAGGGTAATCCTATTCTTACATGGGAGATTTACAGTAAAGAAGCTATCTTGATAACAAACTAGGAATTTAACAATAATATGCCCAAGCACTTGCAGACTTATGTATATAGGCCTACCTGTATATTTAAATGAGAAATTAGTCTATCATTGCTTTTATTTTTTGCCTCAAGAGAAGCAATTTCTAATGATGAACTTCCATCCAATGAATGATTGAGATTTCTTCCTCGGCTACTATCTCTGCTACCAGCTTCCACCTGAAAAAAACAGAGAAAAATTATATAATTGAAGTTATAGTAAAATATCATACAGTCATATTAGTATATTGTATGTAAAGTTACAAGTAGATTGCTCACCAAAAATAACTATTTACTACTGTACTATAACAGTACTGTACTAATACTATTTTAAATGTTAAAATTTAAAAAGATTGTAACTAAGGGCAGTGGAATGAAAATTCAGCAGATATGTGGATAGCATACAACTGTTTGACTGGACATTCTGACAAGCTTACAAAATAACACAGCCACAACAGAATATGAACAACCTAAACTTGTTAGTTTACTAAAAATAGAAATATAGTTGATATGTTTTCCAAGCGGACGTACATAAAGTGTTTAATAAATGTATTTGATGAGTAGTAGGCCTATTGTAGCCTAGTAATTGCAGAATAAAAATACAATACCTTGGGACTGCCAGTTTGGTTCCTTCTTGCTCTATACGACATTTCCTTATTTTTATTCCCTCAGTTGTATTCGATGTATCCAAAGATTTTCTCTATTTTATTAATTGAAATCTGCAATACATGTAACAGTATAATGAACTTAACCCAGCTTAGTCGCCATCATTTTGATGTATAAATCAAATCTCGCGGGTCCGTTTACCACGTGACCCACTGTAAATAAGCTCTCTGCTTTACGACTGCAAATATTACGCTCGTCCAATGCCTTTGAATACATTTATTAATGTAGAAGCATAATAAAACAGCAGGGGATATTGGCTATTTTAATTAAAACACATTCTACTCTCTCCTCTGACCACAACATGTGCTATTTTTCAAACACGTTGCTATAGTAAACCGGTATTTCTACGCCTGGGTGGCTTGCGAGTAAACAATACAGGCGCTGAGGACTTTAACAAAGGATTTATAGTAGTGCTAGGCAAACAAAACGCTCGCATCTCTTATAACGGACATTGTGTATTTCTCATTGTATTTTTATGGGACTTAAATGCCTCTTTTTCTTATCTTTCACGTCCCAGTGTTGACAGTTATGTTTGAAACTCCCACAAAAGATGATACTTCTGACGATATGCGAATCCCACGCCCAGACACGCTCCCCGCTCATTATGCCTCCTCAGTGTCCGATTCTCGCTCTTTTTGACGACTCAATGTGGTGTCACTACTGTATGCGTTAGTTTTAAAATAAATTGATAATCAAATAATGGACAAATAGACCGTTGTTGTCCAGCTATCCACATCGTGCAACATATTCGGTCAGCTCGCGATTGGCTTTGTTCACAAACACGTACATAGTTGAGAAATTTCTCTAATAATGAACTAAACTTGAAACATTACAACATGACGTTGTAAATTGTATCAAGCTACAAAAATAACTTAATATCCCAAGCTCTCTTTTGTTCGTCTTAAGCACGAATTTATAGAAATTCCGTGTAAATCTACCGAGTTGGATGTGCATGTATATCACGTTATTAACCCCACTCGATCAATCGGCGAAGCGGCTGATGAACATACGAACATGACGACCCACGGACGCAGGCTACATCGCCCCTACCGGGGATGTGTATTCGGAAGTTCACTGCGTCTTCATTAGAGTTACATTTCCCCAAATCGCGAGTCCGAATTGAAAATTAATGAAGAGATGTCCTAAATTTTACAGTAACTCAAAAAGCATTAGAAAGAACAGTTTAACGAAGACTTGCCATACGCCTTAATTTTTGTAATCGCGAATTTGGGAGTTAAAATTTTAAATCTCTAACAACCCACAGAGTTGAAGTTTTTCCTAAAAAACGCCGTCAAAAATCGATGGTAACTTCTCCAACCTCACACCGCGAGCACCGACTTGAAGGGTCGCAGGATGACTATTCATCGTAGTAAAATTATCTGTCCCCTGGCCGTTCGCTTGCAAGGTGATAACCCAGCCTCTACATAATATGAAATGATACCTTTGTATGCAATCCAGCAAAAATACAAGTTTATATTTATGACTATGTATTTTCGTATTGAATGAAAATAACAACATATAAGAAAGCAAATCGCAGGTGAAAATTAAAGCATCGGACAGGAGGAAAAGATGAACAAAAAGGCTTGATCGAAGAAATTTTAGGAAATAAAATGGAGAAGCCATTACTAGTCATTCGCCAAAAAGATAAAGTCAGAATAGGTTATTTATGAGGGACAGATCATAAATTTTCTGTTGGAAATAACTAACCTATTGATCATTTGTATAACACAGAAAGCAGTACAAAGTCGCTAAGGGGAAAAGTGGGTTGGTTGGAAACTTAACTTGTAGTACGCTTTTCTCCAAAATGATGGATTTCAATTTAAATCAACTCGGAAAGAACATTTAAAACTTGGAAAAACCCAAATATTGCTAATTGAAAACTGAATTGACTTGGCCTATGGATCGTATTGCTAAATTGTTGTATTTGTCGTAAAAATCGCCGTTCTCCGAAACCGATGGGCCAATCGATTTCATATTTCCAGAAATAGAACATTACAAAAGTCGCTGGAATTTGAGAGTTCTACTCTGTGGATACTTCACCTATTGTTATGATCCATGGGAACACTTTAATATGGCATTTGGGAGCACTTTATGTCCATACATTTGAGCATTTCTTATTTACACATAACAAGAAACAGGTCCTGCATAAAACTTCCCACAATGGAAAAGATTCATGCAATGCCCACACTTGATAAAATAATTTCAAACTATAGGGTTTGAGTGTCATATTTACTATAACTACAACAGAAGCATAAAATTACCCTAATATACAAGTTGAAAACACTACAATGATTTCGTAGTAAAAAAATGTAAATGGATGTTGCTTCTGAACTTCTTCTATATTGTAACTAATGGAAGCATTTTGGCATATTGAACACTGTTTTTCGATTGTGATATTTTTAACAATTGATCATATATATATAGTATACAAACAAACGTCAGCATTAGAAGTGTAATTAATCAAATCCTATACTTATTGGTCATTTTGGTAAAGACCACATAATTCTTCAATTTTGCATGAAACAATTTACACTGAATTTAAACATTGAACACTGAAAATTTTTTTTTAAACCTCTGTAGATTTGGAATAAGTGAATGCAGCGCCAAGGGCCAGCGCCAAGTACATATTCCGAACTCACATGAATTGGATAACTAGAGTTCGTGCTTGATAACAGGGTCACATTTTTGATGATTAGTGATGTTTTCCAAAGCGAAAGGATACTAAGTGGATATTTCGCTGGAATACTTGGGCGCCCGAGTCATTACCTCAACTTGAGTTAGAATTGAAGTCATTTATCAAAAACTCGAAGTAACTTGAGTGATCTAAATGAAATGACTCAAAAAACTTAACTCGGTTTTCGACTCGAGACTTAGATAACCTGTGATTCAACTTAACTCTGGGTTTCGAGACCCAACACTGGTTTTCTGTCTCAGTTAATTTCATGTCAAATCATGGTTGGAGCTAGACAGTAAAATGAGACATTGAAACACCTCACTGACACATGTGAAAAACATTCACATAAATGAATTCTGTATGTGCATTGTGATATCACATATATAATTCTTTCACATACATTTTAAAATGAAGGTATTGATTTTTATGTGAAAGTAACTGCTGGTAAATATATGTGTAATTATTGGAAGCATGTGTTTAGTTCGATTCAGTATGTACTGATTTCACACTTTGGTATGGCACATCCAAAAAAATATTCACATATATTCAGTATTGTACTGCATAAGAATATGGAGGAATAGCTGGAATTTGAGCTTTCGATGGCGATAAAATAAGTCAGAATTTTCCAAAGAAACTCAAAGTATTTGGTTCATTAAATGTTCTTAACAGTTTATTAAAGTAATTTGATTTGGTGTTCGAAGATGGAGTAGAAAGTTTTTGGTCTAGGCCGAATCAAAATATAATATATCAATATATTACATAAATATCTTCGGCCTATAATCGGCAGTGGATAAACAAACTATACTGAATCAGACTTTATTGGTAATATCCTCGAAACAATTCTGATATAAGTTTGATTGACCATAACAAAACAATCTGTATTTACAATAAGGGATATGAACCTCAATTGTCACACTCCATGAATGACCACCATTGAATCATACATAAAAATGATAAAAAAGCAAGCCTAGTATGTACGAATCATAAATGGTCAGAACTTAACGGGTATTTCATTAGTTGTGCACAAAGGGAAAAATTGGATTCAATATTTTGAGAAGATTTATAATTTTTCCGTAGCAGAAAAATTAAAAGAAAAATCCGTTATCTAATCAGGTTCAAAACTCGAAAAGATTTTTAATGAAACACACAGTTCCAATTGACGACAAAAAATTTGCATCGCAAAAGCAGCAGAATCAGTATCGTATACCGGAAACGAGAAAAAAACAAGCAAGGAACAAAACAAGGAAAAAAGTGATAATCAGTATATTTACACAATGTAAAAAAATCACAGTATTTCCCCTAAAATTGAAATCAGGACAAAAAATGATAACCAAATGCTGTCAACAAAAATCAGCAGTTAACTGTTTTTATGTAATTTGCTTTCTTGTTTTATTTCATAGGTAGTTTGATGCCTTACTGACTTGATTCATGCTTCTCTTTAACATAGGTATAGTATAGTACAATAAAATTTTCGTATGGCCATGCCAAATCAAGAATAAATCTGCTACAATGCTGAAAAATAAAGAAAAAAATCAGAAAAACATGCATGATACATGTATCATTCAAATAAGTGCTTAGTATAGTGGGATAGTGAAGTATGAAAATTTACAAGCAAATACAAAACTGGATGTTACAAAGGTCCGACAGTCCCAAAGTAAAAAGCTCTCAAGTAGTGCGATATAATTCCACTTGAAATTTTATGGTAAATAAATTCATTTGCCTTGTTTGGGTAGTTTTCGTCATGCATGGTTCATTTTTACATAATTAAAGGGGAGACAATTGTTTCAAAATTTAGACGTCGTTGAAGATTGTAAGGAAAACAATGATTAATGCCATTATAAGATTAAATAGCCCGATTGTCCAATCATAACCATTTTCATTCACACACAAGCGAGAATAGATAACACAACTGATATATATATATACATATTATTTTAATAGTCCAAACCATGAAAGTTCGATCTGTGGAAAAAAATATCTACCTATAGATTTTTTTATAAAATTATTTATTCACAATTTTCGCTTCGAACAAGGCATTGTTCGAGTATTCAATGATATCTAAGGATTTTGAAAGAATTTGAATCTTTCTGGTTCGGTACTGGCTACTCGATTTATTACACCTTGGGTGAGGGCCGTTGGCACAGCATTCAAATTCCAAACTGAAGTGTGATAATCGAATTCAAAATTTTTGAAAAAAACACGAAAAGCATGAAATTGACTGAGCATTTTCAATGAACAATCAAAGAAGGATACGCCAAAGCTGTTGTTCGTAATCTATTGAGTTGGGAACCAGAGTCAAAATTTTTATCTATCAAGAGTCTGCAACCACAGATGGAGTCATTTGGATAGGTCTGATTATTACAACAAATTTTCAGCATAGATCGCATGTATTAGTTATTGTACCGCATTCATATTCGATTGTCCTCAATCATATCAAAAGATTTGTCATAATGAAATCACAAGCATACTTGAGATGAAAAAATTGCAGTTTTATATAAAACTTAACAGCATAAGATACTCGTACAACAAGTCTGACTTGAATAATTAGAACAAATGCTTTTCTGTATTTATCCTGCATAAGAGAATATATTTTGCAGAAATGTAGACGAGTCTTTTTCCAAACCAATGTTTGATTTGACCCCTTTAACCGAGTTTATGTGAATATTATCTAGTTATTGGTGTAATGTCAGGTACAACTGTACAATAAAAACTTTGTTCCCAAGCAATTCCAGTTGATATGGGCATCAAACAATAATAATATACAAATTATTCACACATTTTTAATTAGAATTTATTAATTAGTAGATGTATTCCTGGTTGCAAGTCTTTAATCTTTATCGAATGACATCTATGGATCACAGCAAGGTATATATGTCCGATCATTGCACAAAATGTAACAAACGCCTACAAGTGTTCTGCTTGTTCTGCGATAGATTTAAACTCGTCAATAACACAATTTTTTCAGTCTCTGCACATCGGTAGATTGACGACGAAGAAAACATTAAACTCGATGAGTAGTGAAAGGGTTAAGAACACACAGTACATGATCATGATAAGAATTCCGAGCTTTCTCGTAAGCTTCCATCCGTTGAGATGAATGGAAATTATCTGAAATAAAAAAAAATGAATAACAAAATGAGCATACTATGTGAAACGTTTTAAAATGGCAAAACACGGTTTTGTTATTTTTGTAGAACGATGTCGAGGTTTTAGTTCCATTAGCAATACATGACAGTCATTTTCCACTCATAAAAGCCAAGGTTGTGGATTTGGGAAATTGAGCCTGAGTTGATAAAAAACTTAAAGTGAACTCCCAAGAGAATTTTAGTAACAAAAATTTTGGGGTATGCATGCGGTCTTTAAATTGACATTTGACCTAAGACTTCGGGTGTAAAAACCATTTTAACTTTACACAATTTATAGCATTCTGAATTGACACTCTTAAAATAACATGCATTCAAATTCAAACAATAAAAATTGTATCAACCAAATTTGCAGTCTTTTCATTCATATTTTATGTTGTAGTCCAGGATGTGCAACATTTAATACTGGAGGGCCAGATACAAATAACTGGGTGAAAGCGGGCTGTACTTTTATTTAACATAGGCTTCCTGGTAGTTGCAAGCACAAAAATTGGCGCTCCCGAGGTGCACAACCTGAACCCTAACCCGGTACAACTACTATGTTCAGGTTGTGCGTCATCTTGGTGCACATACTTCTGGAGGTCCAAAAAATTTTGGTTGATCTTATCTCATGCGTTGTTCGTTTCGTACAAGTTAGCTGTTAGGGCATTGAGAGTCATATTCGTAGATAATAAATTGGACTCAGGTATGGGCTTTGCAATGCAAAGAGGTTGGAATTGCTCGCAAGTACTGGATTAAATTAAATTAAAAACTCGTTTCGCACGCTACACACCATTTAAAATTGGCACTTCAAAATCAAACAATAGAAATCGTATCACACAAATTTTGGGCGCAATCATACACAAGCAGAAGATCAAGTGTTACATAAATTGTCTTCATATTCATAGATAGAAATAAAGAAACTTGGATTAACTTACCACAAGGAAAAGTGAAGCTAGAAGCAAGAAAACTGACCACAATAAACCTCTGCTGTTTATTTGAACCTGCAATAAAAATCGATGCATTAATGAAAGAATTTCTGTCAGTCTGTTCAATATATCAGAATGGTTTGGGTTTTTTCTTGCACTCAAAATAAATTTCAAATTTCAATAATCCAAATAAATCTATTTTGCAACAAATTCCTACACGGCATAAAAAAAGTGTTCCCAGGAGTTAAAATATAACAGCAAGATTTTAGATGAAATATAGGGGAAGAATATTTAAAAAAGTACCAGCCTTTCGCCTGGTTACCACTCTTATGTCGATTAGTTGACCAAGGTATTTGTTTCAAATGCATGAACTTTGTGTCTAACAAATGCAAGAAACCTACCAGCTCTCCAGGTGAAACAACAGCAGTCTTCAAAAACCAAGGCATGGCTAATCCGAGTAATATATCGAAGACGTTACTTCCTATCGAATTTGAGACTGCCATGTCACCAAGACCTTGTCTTGCGACAATGACTGAGGCAATGGTATCGGGTACTGACGTCCCAGCGGCAAGAAAAGTGATTCCCATAATTGAATCAGGTATATTGAGAGTATATCCACAAATTGTACCCTGAAAAAAGAACACACCAGTGAACATATTTTAATCTTATATGATTCATTGATTTTCCTCAACAACAAAAACACCAATTTAGCAAAACGAACCACTTACCATCCAGACCATAATATATGAGCAGACCATGATCCATCCAGTTGAAACAAGAAAACTGACCATAAACCATTTCTCCCAACGTTTTTTACTGCAGTTTGGAATAGTAATGAAAAAAAGAAAGCTAATCGGCCAGCAGATCATCCACTTTAAAAACTTGACAGCACTGTCTGGAAATAGAAATTTTTTTGATTAAAAGTTGAGAACACGATTGCAAGTCGAGTCGACTTGACAGTCAGCGGACAGTAAGGGTGCAAAAGGATTGCTGGACTTCCCGTTGTTCACATAACCACTAGTCAGTTAGGGCTTCGTTCATCATCAAGCCCATGCAATATTAAAAACTTGAGTAACCGTTTTGCATCAGAAAGATAACAATGAACTCCGAGCGGAACTCCGAGGGTTGTAAAAAAATTTAATTCTGGCTCCAGCCCCGATCTCCGAGAAAATCAAACTCTGATAACGAAAACTTCTTGCGATGGCAATAGTTACATCTAACGCTTCAATGACTGGGCCACTGTGCCAAAAACTACGGTCATCGTTTCATTAGGATGTCATTGATATACTAAAACACTCACTCACGCATATAAGAAGGTCAAGCACTGAGTAAGTTAACCAATTGAAATTGAGAAAATACCTCTGGGGACAATGAACGGATGAGTATAACTGCTCAATTCACCGTCCGAGTCTGGATCGGTGATACTTTTGACCTCTTCCGCTGTGTCTGATGTTGCCCTACAAAATGGGAAGTTCTTTTAGTACAAACGGTGAATGCCAGAAACAAATTGAAAATCCAATTAATAATTAGTTATATTTAATATTGTTCGTTATTTAGTAAACATATATAACAAATTTAAAAATAATTTCAAATATTTGAAAATAACTGGAAATTTATCATTCCAAGCATTTGATTTGATGGAAAGAAATAAAATCTACTTTTGGCAGTGATGAAATACGCAATCAATAAAAACAAAATATTTATATTTCAATCTCAAGTATTCTGCTTTGATAAATTTAATTTTAATCAATTTTAAAACTATTTCTTCAAATTTCTCTGTTGAAAGTGACAAAGTTTTAGATTATATTTAATATTTCCTACTTCAAATTTGTTTTGGGAATGCAGGAAAGTAACAGATAAACAGTGATTCGATTATTTTTTCATTTTTTTAGGTTTTAAGAGATCCAAATTATTTTTTCGAAACTTGAATTGCCCAAAATGATAAATATTCAAATAAAATTATTCTAAACTATTCATAAATAAAACAATTCAAAAATGTTGTACGTTAAGATTTGAATCAAATAAAATATTCATTTCGTTTCATATCATTTTCTTGTAGAAAAGGTCACTAATATAATACAATACAATGCTCTAATGTTATTTTGTATTACCTTTCACTTATAGCTGGCGTACTGCTTATCCCATCCAGTGATAAATCTGTTTTACGTCTGACTAAAACTCTTTTTGGTGCTCCGTCTGACGTACTTTTTTCAACAACTAAATTTTGCCTCTGTGATAGAAAAGGAAAATTGTAAGATAGAACAAAATATCAACAGTTGACTCGATCATTCACTCGACTTGAGTTAACTTGGGTCACCAGAAGACTAGAAGTAACTCAAGTCATCTAAATAAAATGACTTAGACTTGTACTCAACTAATCGCCAGTGATTGACTCAAATTTGGACTGGCGACTTGGGGTTTGGAGACATTCACCCATTGCTATATTACACTGGGCGTGAGGAACACATTTGCCAAATTATGTATGTTGGATCGCTGGAGTCGTCTCTGTATTCTGGTATATTGAAATTTTCTACAGTAACTCAAAAATCAAATTTTTTCACAACTCTGGACTGGAGTCAATGTCAAAATTGTTAGCAAGGAGTCGGGATTTGGAGTCGCAGCACTAATTTTTTTTTACGTCTAGTCTAGTAATGATGTTCTCAGATTCCACAGTCCTATAGTACATTACTCTTACCTCGTTGATAATCATCTTGCATGCCATTCGTAATCTTGTTTTAGGTGCGAACGTATTCGACATCATCAATCTCAATCCAGCGTCTTCAAACCTCAATGGACGATTACCACCAGAAATAACCTCGTCTATCGGAACCAACGATGGAGACATCGGCGTAAGTTGTGCGACGACTGAAGTACCGTTCTGTGTTGCACATACATTCATTGGTTTCTTGTCTGATGGAGATAACGGTTCACCACTTCCCAATTTGGATGAATTTCCATTTGAAGCTTAAAATACGCGAGGATAAATTTAATGTTTCACTAATGTTGGTAAAACATGAGAACAATTCACAAATATATAATAACAAGGGGGGAATGCAGCGTTTTTGAAACTGAGTGGTCGGATACCTTAACGATTGCATGCTTCACTAGGTATTATTTGTGCAATTTTAAAGTAAATCAACTGTGATTTTTTGAATGAACTGTGATGCATTCGACTTAGAAACAATTCGAAATTTTAACACTGGAACTCGAGAGCTGGGGAATCCGACTCAGCTCCCACTGGGAATGAAAGAGTACAATGAACATACTTTTAGTTAAAAAGGCGGATTCCTCACTATCTCCTGCATTTCCATTTATTTTCTGTGAAGATTCAGCATCCAGATAATCAGACGAGCTCTTCTTAATTAGTTTCGCCTCGCAGTCCTTTTTATCAAGACTATCCATGGGACTCGCATCCTAAAAGTAAATATCGACGTGAATAAACATGATAAAATGATAAAATAACTTTTTAAAATAATGTTCTCAAATATAGAATATTCCATAAACAGGGTCATATTCAATAAAATACCAGGCTTGGGGGTTGGCTAAGCGTTAGAAACACATTTTCTGTCACATCGTGATTACCCTTGACGAGATCGTAGGTACGAATCCTGCGGGGAAAATTATGAGTGAGATGATTGTTTTTTGCAGTACTCGTCGCCGTTGTAGGGTTGTTAACATAATTGCTAGCCCCACATGCATTGGCACTGGAAGAGAGGCCGTGGTTGGACATGTGATCAAGCTTATCGGCTTTTTTCCCCTCGATAAATGTGGAAACGCTATCCTAAGAACACATAGAAGTATTATAAGGTGAATAAAATACCTTTCTATTATTGTCCATATCTTTTGATTTCCTGTGCTTTTTCCCTCGTAATTTCTTCACGGTTTTATCTCTAGCCGCTTTAATTAAACGTTCTAAAGAAGTATTGAACCTAAAAATGAAGAAAAAGCTATAAGATGACTGAAGTTCTGCAACTTCTAAAAAAATGAGTCTATGGAATAAAATACAAACAGTGAAACTTACTTCATAATAAGGATATATCCGACATAGAGAATTAACATGACGAGTGATTCGTACCATGATACATAGCTGTCATGAATGACCTAAAAAATAAAATAGGTTGCAACTTGTAAGCTTTCGTTAAAAAAATAATACACCTTTTTCAGACAAAACTGTAAAGACATTACTAGAATAAAGCTGCTGTATTGTTGTATCATTCTAAATTACTTACTGCAATTAAAACAGCGATCGCGATTCCGTAGTAAGACGAATCTCGCATCAATGGCCACCAATGCAATGGAACTGCCTAAAATACAATAAATAATATAGATAAAGATGAGCAGTTATACAAATTTTTTTGCTCATACATTATTATCACATGACGCTCACAAGGCTCTGTAAAGCAGCCAACTATATCGACGCATGAAATCCAAATTGGGCTGAATCCATTTTTCTAGTTTTGAGAAAAACGCAAAAAACGTTTTTTTTTTTGTTTCTTTTTTTTATTTCTCTAATACCTTACATCGAGGATGTCTAGTTTTTATGGTCCACCAAAGTTACAATGAAGGCCATATTTAAATGGTATAAAAAAATTTGTGCTCCGCCCCAATTTTTTTTGGGGGGGGGTTTGGCTTAACCCTTTTTGGCTCTCAATTTTCTGGACCAGAAACAATTTTATTGGACTTAGGGCCCCTTTATTATGTTATTATAGAGGCTGGTAAGGACTTAGCGCTTTGTATTATATTTTTTGAGAGGAGCTATGTCCAAAAAACGGACTTAGCCCCAACTTACAATGCAGTTATCCAGAGCTAAGTCCACTATAGTAGACACAGCTCTGTTTAGTTCTCAAATGCCCTAAAAAAAGCAGGGTTATGTCCATAGCTGTCTTGAGATCTAGAGCACCTAGAGATAAGGCAAATAGACCAAAATGTAGTGCTAAGTCCAGAAAAATCAGCAATTGAAAAATGTCATTTTTTGGAAAAGTGGACTTAGCACTGTTTGGTTTTGAGGTGTCGATATGTAAGAAACCACTATTTTTAAAGATCCAAATTTTTCAAGTTAACCAATATCCACTTGAGTGAGGTGCTTAGAAAAGGTTTTGAGCCTGTGATTTTTAACCTGCGATGCTAATTCAGAGTACAACTCTTTGAATACTAGATCAGGGTTTCTAAAGCCCCAAGGGGGCCACAAGAAAAGGCCCTCTCGAAATACCATTCACGATGGCTACATTGAATTAAAGTAAATTTACAACGATTTGCTTTATTCTTAAACGTTAATGGACTTATTTATCTACTTTTTTACTAATATAACTGATGGAGACATATTGGAAGGAAAAAAACGTATTTTTATCGGAGAGCGGGATGCCATGGATCATTAAGCGTCTTCGGGGCCAAAGATCATGAGAGTTTCAGAACCACTTAACATTAGATAATCTATTATTTGACTCGCATTAGATATTCGAATATTCATTCAAAATAAAATTTCCCAAGTTTGACCTCAATTTTCCAAATGCCCTAAGCAAGATTGTAATTATTGTCACAAATTGACGTTCGTATCATTCAATGAGAAAATAATTTGGCCTCCATGTGATACCACATTACCGACATATGTTTGCATAATTGCATGTTTAAAACATTATCTTAATTGAAGTATGTCTTGGCAGTCATTCTGGACAAGAACGCACAAATAAATTTGACAAAATTGTATTACGCAACTTCATGTATTGATGCATGAATTTTTGATGAACGCGATTTCTTAAATGTGTGTAAAATGAGACGCATCATCAAAGTTCTGAACGTAGGGAACGTAAGAAAACTAAATAATGCAAAGTGGGATCAATATGTCAGGAATATTTTGACATTCTTTTGCATATAAGAGCGAAAACGGAATGAATGACCAATGAATGAATTTGTGACTCAGATAGCATTAATTCATTAGAGCCCTTAGAAACTTAAACCCTAAAAATTGCAAGTGTTTTTATATGATGTATTCCCCCTGAACTATGCTGGGCAAAAGCAGCTACTGCTAGGTATGAAGCTACTATAGTCGGAATACATAAATAATAAATATATAAAAGATATCCTACCTCACTACAGAACAGAGCACACAGTCCAATGATGACCAATATATTGAAAACAGCAGAACCAACAATAGTTCCAACTCCGACATCTCCCCGAGCGACAAAAACACCTGTGGAAAAAAAATTGGTGTCAATCTGAGAATATTTTTCACATATGGTTCTAGTACAGGGGTTCTGAGTGTTAATTCTCTCATTTGCCTCGTTGGAAATTTCAAAAGTAAAATTCACAGTGAAGACTGTATATTCCAGTCTATGACTCTGAAAAAAGGGCAAAAGGGCCGTTCCAGAGTCTTTTAACACTTGTGGCCCCCTGCCTTCCTGTACTTCCCTAGTATTTTTTGCACCCCATTCAGTAATAATCGAGTCGACAAATGGGAGAGAAAGCATTACAGTCAAGGAATTAAATAAATTACTGTCAATTTACTTCAAATTATAAACTAATGTAGTCATCATAAATGATTTCTAGTTGAAGGCTTTGCTCATGGCCCATGAGAACCGCTTCCGGGCCCCTCGGGGGATGTTGAGGGACCATCTATAATTTACAATCTTCATACAAGAAACACCCATTTCAATTTTAAACGCTCATGTGTGACTTGTCCAGAGCCATATTAAAAGAAAATGTCTGAAATATTTCTTTAAAGAAAAAGATTTTTACCCCAACTGGAAGATATTAAGATCAAAAATATTTGATGCAGACCTCGTGACATTCTCTGTATTTGATTTTAAACTCAAAGGTCAGGTCAAAGAAAAAAGAATTTTATTAATAAGATTGACATTAATTCCAAGGAGTTTTGATTGACGACATTCAAGTTAAGACAGTTATACGATTATCCTTAAGTTTAAGCTTAACTCAAGGATAATCTTATCGATTTTGTCGTATTTGTATTTAATATATTTATGTATGGCCATTTATGGAACACTGAAATAGGATGTTGCCATGGTGAGCCCCACTATGGATTCAGTGTATAAACTATTCACGACTGTTACGAAAACAACATAATGTTAAGCGACAACTCGCGAATCTCCTGGGAAAAAACGCCTCGAGAAGAATGTTCAAAAGGAACCATCAAGTTCAATTTTAGTTACTAAGCAACAGCTGAATACCCTTATAGCAACAAACATAAGAACACTAATTACCTACTTGAATTGATATGTGAATTATGTCACCCCGTCAAAATAAAATAAAGCGAATAAGCTGTCATCAGGAGTTAACAAAATTAAATATGTTACTAATGACGATAGACATAATTAGAAAAAATTAATATTTATTTTGGTTTGGAAACCATGGAAAAAATGGAGCACATTATTGAATTCTCAAAAAAGAATTATGAAATAGAAACAACCTGATGGGTTACATAACTAAGTGGTTTCTGTTATATAAAATCTGTTATATAAAAGGTATAATTGGTAATAAAACGATGTTATAAATGAGGGTTTCATTAACTGGGCCCTCGGACATCCAGGGGTCGTGAACTCTAGGGTCTATGAGCAAAGGGTTCACTAGGTACCATCTGCGAAGATTACTTGAACTTATATTATGCTGACTGTGATTTGTTCAATTCTTTATTTACTGCATTTATTTTTTTACTTTTGTTTGTTGGCTTTTTATCTTAAAAATTGACAAATTACTGATCCAAATAACAGGTAGTACAGGTCTCATTTTACCTCATTCAAAAAACCAAAATTTCAGAGTAATATTGGGCATTAGCTATCATGCTTGGAAGTTTGGACGTCAATTATGGCAACAGTTATTGAATGAGTTGTATCATACACAAGATATTAACGACTTTGATGATCTATGGCCCACTCCAAAGACTCTCAAAACTTGTGGAACCCCGATTATAGATAAAAAAAAAAACTAATTTTGTTTTTAATTCATTTTCATCAGTTATTTTATGAACATCGTTTAAAAATGAAAAAGTCGACAAATGAAATGAAAATTATACATGCATCTTGGCCCAGTTTTGAGAAATAATACCTACCAATTATAGATATGAAAAGTTCTGGCGCTGAACTTCCGGCAGCCATGAAAGTTGCCCCGGCAACATCTTCTGTAAGTTTCAATTTCTGAAAAATGGATGAATATATGAAGATGACTGCAAGTAGGTAAGTTCATTTCAACATTAATGATTGATAAAAAAAAGATACAAGCATGATCAAGAATGTCAGGAAAACATACAAAACCTATAAGTTTGAAAACATGAAAGCAAAATTTTTTGCCAATTAAATTATGGAATGGGAAGGGCACGTGTTTGCTCACCCTAACCAAAAAATAAAATAAACACACTCGCTCTATCGCGCACCCAATCGCAAGCCTGAAGGTCCTGCGGATGGCCTAGAGCAGGAGTTTCCAAACCAGGGGTCGCGACCCCAAATAGGGTCGGAGTGATAAGTAGATAGGGTCGCAAACAGGTCTTGGGGTCGCTGAGGTATGGTAGAAGATGGTATGGTACAAAACATATAAGATTTGACAAACCATGTTCAATTAAGCAGTTTGTACCATGGCTTACAGTAAAACAGGCCCATAGGCATCGCTCTATGCTTATGCTATAGAAAATGTAGGTGAATATTGTGACATCACTATTTGGATTTAGCTTATTTTACTTAATACCACCACCACATGACCAAACTCAAAAGTCTAGTGAAAGAAGCTCTAAAGTTCCACGAAAAATATATATATTGACCTGGGGTCGCACCGGACACCTGAAAGTTGTCTTTTGGGTCGTCCTGAAAAAAGCTTGGGAACCCTGGCCTAGAGGTTATAGTGTTACACTCAAATAAGATTGCTAGCCCACGACATTACTCGAGATGTACTGTAATATATTTGGTAATAGAGAACTGGAATGAATCCTTTCGTTCCAAACAACAGTCATTATATCTAGCAGTGTCTGCTTGTTGCAAGCCTTGCTCAGAGCAAAAGCACCAAATGAAAATATGAAAAAGATATTCAATTGTACATAGGTGTCGGATGATAAAGTGTGTACCCTGTCTAAAGATTGCTTTCATAGATCTAAAGCGATAAGAAAGGGACATGCATTTTGCATTTCAACTTGACAACCGAAACATGTTCACAAGCATTTTTGAGTCTCTTATTTTCAATTCAAATCGATTTTCAGGCCTTCGATATTTGGTTTTTAGGCATTTGGTATGTCGAACTCTTCACTCAAGTTTAGTAGCAAATTTCAAATTGGAAAAATTTCAATCTTATACATATTTCCTAGTACATGGTCTTTGGAGCAAGATATTTGAAAAAAGTGTCATATAAAGAAAATTGAAAATTTATCATAATAATATAAGGAATGAATAAAAAGTACATACCTCTGAAATCTGATCAAGAGATGGTACGAAATAATCGTCACATACGATAGCAAGCGCAATGAACATATAAAAACACTGAAATAGAAGAATGCTTTTGTTAGAATTCTGGTGACATAAAAAACAAATTCGCTAAAAAATTAAGATAATTTTTCAACAGCATTTCCCAACCTTGGCGGGAGGAATTTTGAAAAGATATAGAAATATTACTTTGCATTTAGTGTAGTTTTAAAAGTATTGTTTAATTATTTAGTATTATTGTTATTCATATTTATGGACACATTATGAGTTATTCAAACTTTGCAAAAGCAGGTGTAACAAGAGTGCAAAGAGTCCCATATCGGCGTCAAAATTTATTAATTTAATTAATAATCTAAAAATTCGATACTTACAACAAAAAAATGAATAACTATGGCTCCTTGAAGCCTTTGCTCTTCCGTAAATAAATCTTTCGGAAATTCATGGATTGCTAAAAACAAAATGCGATCTTGCTAAAATCAGTCATAATTAATTAAGCAATAAACTAACATGCGCACCGCCACAATGCCCAGGTGCTTGCAATTACTATTGTATTCAATTAAATGTACTGCTTTTTTCTGACAAGGCATGAAATTTACATCCCAGCTGTGTAATTAAATATTCAAAATACCTGAATACATTGACAAATACACAAGTAAGATATAGGCTTATTACAATACAATATCAAAGTCTATACACAGATTTCGGTTTAGTTCATGGGTCGTATAAATAGTAGAACAACAATATTAGGAAACAGACAATATTATTAGATGAAACACTATATTTAATTACCTAACCCACAAGAAAAATATTTTATTTTAAAAGACCTTAAACAATATTGAAATCAGTCCAAACCTTTTTAAATGTGATTTTAGTAAATGCTAATAGATTTTGATCTGACATATACAAAAGTCGGTTTTACGTTTGATGTATTTTACGACGTGACGTGCGTCGATCTAAATCCGTAACGTCAAAGAAAAACCGCGGTGTGCGTCGTGCGTAATCCCGACAAATAACAATGAATGTGATCTGAGATATTGTCATTAAACGACTTAATCGCGGATTTCGAAAGGTGAAATCTATTTCTGGATTCTCTGACAAAATAATTTTCAGTGGTTAAATCGGTTGGCCGTGAATTCGTAACCGTTTTTAACAGTCTACTAAAGAAGCCTTGCATGCGCTAAAGTTTTTATTATCAAAATTTGATATCCATCAATCTGGAGCCGGAAGCCGATGTCGGAGTCAAAATTTTTAAATCGGAGCCGGTCATAAATTTTTCTAGACTTCATATACCTCGCGGGAGTTAGGTCAAAATTTTCCGCAGTGGTGATTCGGTTATAAATTTACTGCTTTTGTAACTCAGAGTCGGAGTCAATTTTTTTCATCCGTATTCGGTTATAAATATTCCCATCCCATGCTTCGGTTTTGCCCGCCCTCATATCTATTATGGACTAATTTTACGCGGGAGTGCCTAATGATCTTAAGATGTGGCTTTATTGATCACAAAAAATGTTCAAAAAGGATTATCCGTTTCTAAATATAGGCATTGTCACAAATTCTCGCATATCGCGATTCAGTTACATTTTTAATTTATTCGCAATTTCCTACGGCCGAGTTGGGTGTATGTACAATTACAACATTCCACGCTTGATCGGTGTGTTAATAGTAGTATAATTTAATTAGATTTGAACATTATGCGACTACGCAAGGCGTGCGTCGGAGCAACGACCCACAATGCCCCCTGTCGATACACGAAATTAAGTTTGCATGAGAATATGCGCTGTGTTACCACAATGTGCATATATCACGTATTAGTTGTCAACAAGGATATTTGGTTTCGCCGCGGCCAAATTCTTAAAAAAGAAGGTCGTTTCCAGGGTTGTAGAGTCGGGCTAAATTTGCAATCGGAGTCGATTTTGAATCCGGGTTGTAAAGAATTTCGACTCCTAACTCCCAGAAAATCCGATTTTAATAACAAAAAAAATTGGCGTATGCCAGATTTCTTTAAGTTTAATAGACTGTTAAGAATGTGCAGTAAAATTAACGCTTTCTGAGTTTCTGTAGGAATGTTTCATTTTTTTCTATCATCATTAAAAGTTTAAAATTCCAACTCCGATTCCGTGAATTTCGACTCCAATTCCGGATTTCGGGGAGTTTGAATATGCGACCCCGCCTTCGATTCAATTACTACAGCGGGTAGGAAATATGCTACAACAAGTCTCCTATTTTGTATCTCAATATTCTCATGCACCTACTTATCTTCAAGTGAATTCAAACTCGTAAATCTTCTTGGGGGTAATTATCCCGGGTGGTGCAATACCCAGCGTTTTCCTAGAACTGAGCAAAATTACTTTACCACATAATAATAAAAAAGGGAAAATATCAACTTGAATATGCCCATCACGCTCAAATCAATTATTTTAGCAATCTTTTAATTTGTCCTATCCATTTGTTAGCAAGTTTGGGAAGAATAAAATATTATACATAACTATTCAGATGAGGTCACGCCTCCCAAAACAGTTTGTCTGGGAATATTTTCAAAAAATAAAAATAAACGAGGTAATGATTTTTCATATTATTTTACAAATACCATATTCTAAAAAAGTTAAACGCCCCGCGAATTTCAATTTTTTCCTTTCGGCAGCGTGTTACTACCATGTTACTGAATTGTTGATAGTGCAATAAATGAGAACAATAGAATTTTTTCCCAACCTTTTCTATATATCCCTCCCTATGCCAATTTGAACCCATTCTCCCTCCCCGCTAAGCGTGAAAATTCATTTCATTTTGTTCTTCCAAGTTTAACTGATCGTTAGATAGTGAGTGATAGACGCTTTCGTACAGTTTGAGAAGTGCAAACTGAGTGCACAAATATACATTATAAGAAGGAATACTAAAAAGGGAGGACATTTTATAATGTAAAATACCAATATGAAAACCCTTGGATGTATATAAAATAAATTCAAATTTTTCATTTGAAGACAAGTCCACCATGAAATTTTCGGGATACAATACTGATAGAGAGTAGCCGATAATTCAAGAATGGCCATGGCCACGTGTATACCAAACATAAATCTTTGCGCCAAAAGTACACTTAAGAGCAACCTTGATGAGCATATACAGATACCAATATCATGCACGACCACGCTCGGACATCCAATAACAACTTACACTTTTGAATGAATGTGCTGAACAGTCGGATCTTTATTAGAGGACGTATCACGCCACATACCTCACCAATTAATTTTGGATTTGGGAAAACAACGCGTGTGGCCTATTCGCAAATAAATTTGAAAATGAATTCCAACATTGCGGTAGGCTACACTCAAAGTATTCCAATTCCAGTTAATTTATCAAAAATGAAAAGGAAAGACAAAGTAAATGTTTACCACTTGACTAGGAAAGACCATTTTCATTATTTAAACTGATACACAGTTAATATTTTACCTTTTCTATTTTCTAAAACAAGGCATATGCTTTCCATACACCGCGCCAGCCCTTCTACGAGATAATAAGAATAAATCATGCAAATTAAGTTTATGTCAAAATCGACAGAAAATGACAATTTTTTGTGGGCGTGGCCATAGATATAAATTTTTTGTGGGCGTGGTCATTTCAATATCCTTATATAACTAGGGCATTGTTTCGTAACATAACACACAAAAATCTGTGTTTTTCGATTATTTTGCAGACTATTTTTAACTCTAGCAAATAAACCTTCCGCGTGAGCAATTTTACCTGACGCACTTTAACTTTGTTTTAAGTTTACCAAGCATGATCCGTGGTTAAATTGCATGGGACATAAATGGGACATGCTTGGCCGTGGGTGTAGTTTTTGAAATGGGTTTTTAATGTTTTACTTCGATAACGATGCGACCTGACGCACGTCATCGTAAACATTAGTGAAATTTGAGTCAACAATGCAAATCAAAGATCTTTTGCCAACAAGAAGTGTTACTGATATCTGTGCAAACTTTGCACCTTCGGTTGGTCTTTGAAATGATGACTTTTTAAAATTTAATTTATTCTGAAATGATTGCCATATACGCAAACGAAATTTTTATTGCACGCAAAGTTTTTTTTGAAAGATGTGGTATATAGGAGTTATCCTGGTATCTACGGTAATAATATTTTACTTTATAATTGGACAAAAAATGACGGCGGCATTTCCAGATGCCATAATGAAATTATCCTTGCTAGCAAAGTCTTTACACAAAAGCAAGCTAACTGTGGCATTATAAAGAAGATATTATGATCATACAGAATATTTTGCTTTAAATTGGATATAAAACGGCGATATTTTCATGGAACAATGGCTATATCAAGAATCGAGATGTATCTTAATTCTTAATACAACCAAACAACAGCGTCTGATGATTTCTATTTTCATGATCATGCAAGTTCATTCTGATTTATTCAATGCTATTACGAAATGACAAGATAAAAACTTATCTAATAAATCCGGCCAAAACCAGTTAGCACCGGAATTGTTTCTTGTTGATTGCTTTTGATTGTAAACAGCAGTGTGGTATGCAAACTCAACTTGAGTTTGTAATGCAAACAAGCCGACTATTCTGTCTAAATTCACCAAAGCGAACCCATATTGATATTAGCTATAATTTAGTTGGTATGTTTATACTTACATGGTGGTGTACAATTTTCGTGGTGATTCGACGGCTTTTCCGTCCCATTGGTTGAGAATTGTTCACTTTCGTTACCTGTAAGAAAATAACAAAACGCTAAATAAATCAACTTAAATATAAAAGTCAGCTTTTCTTATGTGGTCTCAAAATTTTCGTTTACCTTTGTCCCACTAAGCCCACACTTGTACCACTTTGCCGTTGTGAGTACCACTGTTCTGGGTTAGGATATATACAAAAATTTGGGGAATAGTTAACCACGATATTTTCTGAGTTGGTGTAGATATACCAGTGTCTAAGAAATGTTGTCGCCACACTTGTACCACTTTTCCGTTGTGCGTACCACTTGCACCACTGTTCTGGGTTAGGATATTTATAAATAAAAATTGAGGAAAACATGTCGTTTTTAGTTTATTCTACTGACGCCACACTTGTACAACTGTTCCCTGTTGTACGTATCACTTGTGTACCTCTGTTCTTGGTTAGGATAATTAAAAAAAAAAAATTGGGGAAAATATTGAAACACGCTATGCTCAGGGGATAAGATATAGGTATGTCGGTGTCTCTGAAATGTCGTTATCCATTTTTCCCACTTGCCTAACGCCACACTTGTACAACTTTTACCACTCTTCTGGGTTAGGTTTTTTATGTATAACCTAAATATATGAAATGGGAATCACGCTTTAGGATAGATATAATACTTCCGGGAAATGGTGAGAGTAACCATATGAAGCGATATTCATACAATTGGGATGTAGAACGAGTGGGAAATGAACAAAAATTTCATTCGTCCCTGATAAATACACGAAAATCGCTAAAAATAATGTAATTTCATTCATTCCCCTATATATTTTCTAGTGTCAGAAGTTTTTGATTTCAAAATGAATTTTTCCAGGTAATTTGAAATTACTACAAAATTCAAGCATTTACTATATCGAATATAACGAATTTTGATTCGTTATGGCTTATAGGTATCCCAGCACAACGTCTGAGAAATTCGAAGATTTAAATCGAATACCAACCAGAAAAAGCGTTATTGCTGCTATCTTCCAATAATCGCCGTAGGAATACAGGTTTTTCTTGTGAAAATTGACTAAATGATTTTCCATTAGTTGAACTTCTTGAATAATTAGATTGATCTGTAAAAAAGATGAAAATATAATTTATCGAACATAATTATAATTTTTAATTTAGCGTGTCCCAGGTATGTGTCCAAATTCGGGTAATTTCGAATATATTTTAAATTAAAATTTTCGAATATCGAACTTTTCGAATATAGTCAAACTAAGGCTATGTTTGACAAAGAACACATGAAAGTCCATGTATACGAATTTAAATTTAGTAATGCATGGGAGGTAACGATAAACAGTGATTTCGTTGTTTATTGCAGGGTGACACTCCTCCCCCCCCCAAAAAAAAACACCCCCTCAACAAAAAACAGACCCAAAATCCTGTTTTGTGGGGGTAACCTCCAGTAACTCCTTATTTATCAGCGAGGCTTACTCATTCAAACGAAATATGGAAAGTCTATACAAGGCTAGAAATCTTTTACGGTATAATTAAAAAGTTGCATTTTATAAAAATCCATATTTCGTTCACCCACAATTAGAAAAATCCGTTCTAAGTACAAGCGCCTTATCTGATCGATCAAAATCCAGTTACGGTTGAAATAACGGGACATTAGAATATTTAAATTAAATTAAAATATTTATTAAAATTCAAATATCGCATCCTAAACCGCTTATCGACGTTTCAAAAATAGAACCGCGACTGTTAGATATGATGAAGTGTCACAATCTTGAAGACATGAGATTAAAAAAAAAGTCTTTTTAAAAAATGAATACCCAAAGATCAAGATGCTTTAATAAAAAAATAAGACAAATTTACAAAATTGCACAGTAATTCAACTTGGACTATAGTCGCCCTAATAATAACTGTAGTATATACGGGTGACGCAAAATAGCAGCCCCCGTAAAACGTCCATTTAGTAACGGTTTTATCTCCGAGTCATGTTTGATCTAGAATACTTTATTTTAATCTAGAAATTTCAATCTACTTGCATAATCTATAACGCATTAAAGAGATATTGAGATACATATGGAAAATTAAATTGTTTAAATGAATATAATTATTTATTTTGATTATGTCCAGTCAAGATATGACATATCATTAATTTCCTTCGCAATAAGGAATTCTAAAAATAATATTGTCCGACATTATGTACTAGAAATTCATCACAGTTTTAGTGGGGATATGGACTGATAAGAAATTCACTTTCGACTCCGGATAGAGCAAAATGTGACTCCACCTCTCGAGTTAGGGAACAGTTTGATTCCGATTCCGGGTTGTAAAAAATTTCGACTCCGACTCCAGCTCCAAAAAAATCAAATTTAAAAAATAAAAACTATTGCGTATGCCAGCTTTTTTCTGTAGAAGATTTTTAAACTTTCATTATCACCATGAACGTATAAAATTCCGACTCCGGTGGATTCCAAATTTTGAATCCGAGTATTTAAAAACTTGACTCCAGCTCGGGCTCCAGTCAAAAATGCCGACTCCGACTCCCACATCTCCGGTTTTAAGGGAGCTCTAGTCAATCCGAGATTTTCACATTGTCTTAAATGTATTTTCTACAATTGTACATATCACCTGTTTCAGTTTTGTGTTTTGGTATGTAAATTTTTTAAAAAAAACAGGTGGTATGACATTCCATTGCTTAGAAAGCAATAAAAGTATATATTAATAGAATATATCGTCGAAATCCCAGAACAAACGATTGTCATAACAGGTCAACGGCCTATATAAATAATATTATATTATTATGAATCATTCAACGCATAAGAGGGTGTGGTATTAGAATTCGATGATGAAAGTATATAAGGGCGTTTGTATTCGAGAAATATTTCCCATGGTTTATTAATACCCATCGTTCCACCAGCAATTAATTATAGATTAATAGATACGTTAAACGGCATGCTTGTCCTCAGCCTAGCTCAAGAAAGCAAAGCTGTGGGTTGGGTGAAATCTGCATTCGACACTGACTCGACGGTTGAAATTTTTTTGTAATTTTACGCCACAGATGTGTGCTCGGTGGCCCAGTCAAGTGGTTAAAAGCGTTTAGGGAATGTTTTCGGATCGGCGGGCCATTTCGTTCACTTGTCTCGATTGGAGTGAAAAGCGATATTCTATACCGCGGAACTCCCGGGATCTTATGGATAATACGAAATATCAATTTTTGCCTTCGGCACTTCTAATTACAGCGCTTTGCCACACAAGTACCACAGAGTAAAATAAATTCGTTCTAACTTTCATGTCTTGCGTACTAAACATTCCATAGCTAACTAACTCCCGTTAATTAAAACGAGACAATCCAATCAACTAAAAAAAATTGTGCAAAATCACCGGAATTTTCGCGTGATTTTACAACGAGAAATTACCTCACCAGCGCCCAAATGTGAAATACAAAAAAACTGCAATAAAGATTCAGCAGTCATAGCAAGCCGATGCTCGATCTAATATAATGAAAAAAAAAACGGAAAAATACAGGATTCTTATGAAATAATACATCGTCGCTTCTTGGAAATGTTGATTTCGTGTTTTCGCCACGAAATTAAATTCGCTAATAATTCAATGGCAAAAATACCTACAAATGACAAAATATAAATTTCATTTTAATGCTAATATGAATGCGTATTCAATGCATGCTAATTCATTTGGCAAAAAAATAAAATAACTAAATTCAACTTTTTTGGTATTTGCCAAAATTTGTGATGTTTTGTTAGACTCATGCTTTGGCGTTCTTGCCAGCAGACGACTCAATGTTGCCACAAAAAATACCACGTAACAAAATGTTAGCCAATCAGAGCGATCGTTGAAACGCCACTACCAACTGTAAGAAAAGTATATGGGAAGTATAAGGAAGATAAAACATCTTAAAAACATCAAACTTTGTAATCCAACAGGATATCAAAATAAAACCACGAGAGAATCGAATCAATTATTTCAGCATATTAAATATCAGAAAACAATACTTGAAGAGGACATGTGATATTTTGAATTTCGATCTAGGCAAACATGACGATGACATCATATTGTTCAATGAAAGGACACTATTCAAGAATTAGTGATTTCATTTCAAACAGTTCGATGAGGTAACTGTATTACTTAATAATGAGGGCGCCCATCAATGGGAATGGGGTAGGCAATGATGGATAGAAAAGAATCCGGTCTGCCCAAGAATAGTATATGGTTAGCTATCGTTAGATATGCCGAGTAAAAATGATGGCAAGGAAAAATGGTAACTTGGAAAAAAAACACAATACAAATAGAATGTCATCTTACTATACATGTTACATTGGCTAAAATACCATCACTAAAAATACTTTCTTACAATAGAAGTGAAAATATATTGACATCTTGCCTTCTTTGACAAGGAAATGCCGAAAATATAAAACATTTCATGGTCAAACATTTTCCCCATCACGTGGTATTTTAGTAACTTTAACATTAAGTAAGACAAAGTAAAACTGGCGACTAATGAAAGACAAAAATCGGCATGTGACTACCGCGATGGAACAAAAATACCAGAGATGAGCTGTGAATGGAAAATCCGAAATAAGAAGTACATATTGTATTGAAATGGTACATTTCTATACAAATTTCAATTTTATTTAATGAACCCGCCCTTCCTATAGCCTGACTGGTAGTGTTCATCCAAACGAGCGAATGACATCCAAAATTAAAGTCAGTTTTAAAACACCAAAATAGTATATTACCTCACAACTGATTGAAACATACTTAGATTAAACGGGTGATGTTACATTATCGATCATTGGTCAAACCCGATCAAGCATGGGCATACAAAGAGTACGCTCAAATATGAGCAATACAACTTCGGCCGATCATCGACCAAAAAAAGTAGACTGTGACGTAATCGAATTATAGCCGGCACTTAATAGTCAATAATGGAAAATTGAAAATGAAAACGTAGGGCGTATGATTAAGTTTTAACTACTAGGAAAAATTCGTAAAATTGAGCTTGAATTTTGAAGTATCATATTGGTTTTGTTCGCACGTCATTTCGATCGCTAGAAATTTAAATAATTTCGTAGTATTTAGTCTTACATTATTTATATTCCCACAACCGTGTTCACACATTTGTGAACATATAATATTTAAATAACGTGGGGATGGTTTTTATTTGCTGTTATGGGTGTGTACGAGTGACATCACGACGATGAATAATATCTAGTAAAATATGCAGTTGGAATTAACAATTACGACAAGTCGTAAATCATAGAACAACGGCATATTGTGTGGTCGTAAGGCGTAATAAGAAGACAAAAAACTCGAATACTTTGAGTTACGTTATACTACAATATACAGGCAAGTGTCTGAATCGATATATTCTATTAAATTGATGACATTGTGAAACACAATTTAATTTGAGTATTACTGCACAACAAGATTCTTTCATCACGTAGTCTAGTCATCTTATTCCTGTTACAGCATCCTACATTTATACACATACGGACCAACTACCGCAAAACTGATACTTGTGGAATTTTTTCGTATTTTTCGAATTTGACCGCCTTTAAAGCTGACCATAACTATTGACGTAACAAGTTGCGAATCTTTTATAGAAAGTCCAGGCCACTAAGGCAAAATGTGACATTTGGGAAACCCCGCCACGTTTTTTATTTTGAGCAGTGGCGGGGACAAAAGATCTCAAATTGGATAGAGTATGCCAGGCTATTTTAAATTTTTGACTGTCAGGTGACTCCTTCAGAGACATGTCGAAATTGCTCCATAATAGAAATCTTTGTGTCACGTGGCATTTCTTCCCGCAATTGACGTCACCGAGTCACATCAAGTTAATATCAAACGGAATGAAATTTAGTCTTCCAAATGATCGCCACAAAACTGCCAAGTTTCCCAATCAATAAGGTTCAGCGATGAAAAATGCCATCTCTTTAATAACGAAATCGATCATTGGTTTTCAATAATACCCTGAAAGTGACATTTTATGGATAATTGACGACGCCTTCGCTCGGAACAAGACTCTTTAAAGGCAACTACTGCTAAGTAAGGAATTCCTATAGTTTGGAAGGACCGGGGTCTTTCCGGTTAGACACTATCG